CTTTCAATGCTTCCACTTCAGCATCGTCAAGAAGATATTCATAAGATGGATTGTAAGATTCATGATGACCAGGCAATTCAAGTTTCGGCGCGGGAATATTTGAACGTGGTAAGTTTGTTTTTGGTTCATCTGCCCATAAATCATAACTATTCGATAGCATTGGATCTTCTTTTGGTGGTGCTGGTTTAACCCAGCCCATTTTAATTGCATGAAGATATTTGCCGACTTTTAAACGTTCCCATTTCGAAGGAATAAATGATGCTTTCGACTCCGGTGTGTTTAATATCGGATGGATCATGACTTCAGATGAAAATGTGTCTACCCATGGTTCGTAAACGTGATCATCGGGGTAAGTTTCAGCATTTTGAATATGTTGGATCATAGCAATATCTTCGTTTGTTAAGGTGACATTTTGTCCTGTCAAATCATCGTAGACCGTTCGCCAGTAGTCCGCATTCTCCATTTTTTCGAGAAATTCGTCGATTTCATCGGATTTGCCCGTTGAGATCGGTTTAGCAATCTTTTTTGCGTCGAGATCATAGCCTATATGGTCATGATTCTCATACCATTTCAATGGCACATTGTCACCAATTGTATTCGACGGTACTTCTTCATCAGAATCAATTTCTTCTTCGTCAACCGTGGAATTTTTGCGCTTTATCGATGTCATCTTTGCCTAAAAGATACTAAAAATGAATGAACAAAAAGAAATATTGTTCTAGCTATCTGATTGGTCACATCTTATCAATCAATACAATCGCTTCACATGCAATTGGCGACATCTTTTTTGACTCTCTTAATACCGTACAAACACCTTTCAGTTGGAAAATACGTCTACAAATTGATTAGGATATCGAATTTTAGTACGAAGAGTAGTGTCTAGTACAGCATTGAAATCATTCGTGACATTTTTACCAAAACAGATCATTTTGATAATGGCGCTGGCTAGTAGACTCGCATATTCAGATGATAAGCTGAGAAAGCATATTACACGTTTATCTTGTGGGTAATATACACAATGATAACACTTTCATACATTTTCAGTAATTTAAGTTTCGATCATTAGTAATTTAACTATGAAAGTTATGCGTATTGAAAGAGCTCTCAGCCACAAATTATTCATTAGATAAATTTAAGAAGAAAAATCAATTCTTTAAAGTATATCAGATCCCCGACTTCGTGGTATGAACATATCAACAGTCAGTCAAATCCACTACAGCTATTCAATTGGTGTTCTTACAACCAATGAGCATTTATTGTAAATAAACTTTCAGTTGTCTACTGCCTCTCTCAACACAAGAGACAATATTCCTGCCATGCTTGTTTGAAAATATCGCTAACGCACTTATGCACTAATCAGCGAGAAAAAAGTGAATGAGTCATATTCTGATTACTTTCATCTAAAAAAAAAAATAAAAGCACCTTTTCCGATCGTTTAGAAGGTTTGAAGTTACTCTAATGGTATACTATCCCATATTGTCGATCTTTCCTTAGGAAGAGTTAGAGTAGGAAACCTCGTTTGCTATTGTTTGTCAACTGATTACTATTGTTTTTAACTTGACAAAGAATTCAATGAAAAAGAAAAACAACAACAAGTTATCTAGCGCCTGTAAAAATCATTTATGTGTTTTTTTTTTCTAGACAACTTCTGTATGTTTTATTTGAATCAATATTAAGCTAATCATTTTAATCATATCATTAATATTAGACACAATTCTAAAACATGTCGATCCGGTATGATAAATGACATATTTGTGATTGTATACATCGAGCAGAGTCAATTGAACTCGATCGTCGAGTACATGTCTCGAGATTTTTCAACTGGCGTAGACTGATTTTTTCGGATGAGAAAGTGTTTATAGATAGATAAACAAAATAAAACGAGTTGTCAATTCGAGTAAATCATTTTTTAGCTTTTATATGTTTACAGACCATGTGTTTTGACTAAATATGGTCATTGCACCATTCAAGTTTGCACTTGGATTGTGCAAGAGTCGCTTGTTTAATGGTTGTAGACTTTTTTATGTTTCTAGTAGATCATCTTTTCCTGTGTTGAATATGAAAAGTAACGAATGAGAGGAAGATGTTGTTTAAAAAGTATTTCGACAGTCTATTGACTTTTTACGAAATGCCTTCTCGACAGTTAGTAATATCAAACTCATTGGTTAAAATATTTCATCATATAGACAATAGATACTGAATAAACAATAGTCACTAGTAGTTTTTCTCGCGAGAAAATGGATGAAATGTATTAAATTAATTCAAATTGTTTTTGTTCTTTTAGCATTTAATTATCTTGCTATACTATGAGTAGAACATCATCCAACGTGGAAGACAGACAGAAAAAAATGCGTATTCGTCAATTCTTTGTAAGTATTTTGGAAAAAACCTACTTTATACAATTTACTATCTGCTGGTTTTTCTTCTTCATCGCCTTCTATTTCTTTGCTCGTTTTTCTTTCCTTTCTTCCTTTCGTTCTCTCTTTCATGATGATGATGCGGAATTTTTGCGCTTTTCATCAAACGTACGTTTATGTCATTTGAAAAGGCAAGCAAGTGTAGAGGACAAAAATGAGTAGCCAAAGGCAGCATTGTTCAGTTTTTCGTTTACATCAGTTCTTCTCCTCATCAGAAAATTCTAATGCCGGACGAATTAAGATTTCGCAAGAGAATTTAACGTTTCTCTCATCGTCAGACGTAAGTACGACGAAGATTTGTTCACAACATAGATAAGCATGTTGATATTATTCTGAATATATTAATATTTATCTAGACGACTGTCGACGATCGCTATGTCAATGATATCTGGAACACATCGTTGAAAGCGGCTATTCAAGAAATTCAGAAGAAAAACAACAGTGGGTTGAGTTTCGAAGAACTCTATCGAAATGCGTACACTATGGTGTTACACAAACATGGAGAAAAACTTTATACAGGAACGCGAGAAGTTGTCATAGAACATCTTGTACACAAGGTAAGAAGCGGGTTGGATTTTCGAAATGAATTGGAACTGTTCGTGATTTTGTAGGTCAAAGAAGATGTGAAAGATTCTTTGAACAATAATTTTCTAGTGACACTTAATGCCGCATGGAATGATCATCGAACAGCAATGATTATGATTCGTGATATTCTTATGTATATGGATCGTGTCTATGTTAGCGGACAAAAACTTGAACCAGTTTATAATTTGGGTGTTATATTATTCCGTGATAATGTTGTTCGCTCTCCAGCTATACGTGATCATTTAAGACAAACGCTATTAGACATGGTAGCGAAGGAACGACGTGGCGAAATCATTGAAAAGTAAAGTTTTGAATACGAATGGGTTATTATGAGACATTTTCAACTGAAAATCTGTTATTATAGGAGTGCAGTAAAAAATGCTTGTCAGATGTTGATGAATTTAGGTATTGATAGTCGGTCGGTATACGCCGATGATTTTGAAACACCATTTCTATTACAATCTGCTGAATTTTATCGGGTATGTATTGAAAGGAGTGGCTATTTGAATCTGCTTTGTTTGCTAATTTAGCTCGAGAGTCAAAAGTTATTAGAAGAAAATAGTGCATCTGTATATATACACAAAGTAGCTGCGCGCATAAGCGAAGAAGCTGAACGAGCCGTCCATTATCTTGATAAATCAACCGAAGAACGAATCATTCGAGTATTAGAAGATGAATTAATAACGAAACATTTGAAAAGAATCGTTGAAATGGAAAATTCAGGTGTCTATTCCATGTTGAAATTTAACAAATGTGAAGATCTGGCAACAATGTATAAACTTTTCGAACGCGTGCCTAACGGTCATCTCACAATAGCAGATTGCATGAGCGGCTATTTACGTGAACAAGGACGCGCACTTGTAGCTGAAAATGCCGACGAAGGAAAAAATGCCATTAGTTACGTCCAAGTAAATTCGTGGTTTTGTCTCGATACTTTCTTTGGAAATCGTTGTTTTTTTTTAGAGTTTACTCGATTTAAAAGATACATTTGATTATTTCCTCAAGAATGCTTTCAACGAAGATAAAGTTTGTGTTAACATTTCATATTCACTGATCATGTTTTGATTTAGGCTTTTAAAAAACGCATCAATTCCGATTTCGAATATTTTATTAATTTGAATCAACGCAGTCCAGAATATTTATCTCTATTTATTGATGATAAACTGAAAAAGGGTGGTAAAGAGGTAAACAGAATCTCCGGACATTCCGATCAGATGAATTTATCAACTGTTTTGTTTTCATTGAAACAGCTCGGCGATCAAGAAGTTGAAATTGTTCTTGACAAAGCAATGATGCTATTCCGATATTTAGAAGAAAAAGACGTTTTCGAACGATACTATAAACAACATCTAGCTAAACGTCTCCTATTAAATAAATCTGCATCTGACGATGCAGAAAAGAATATGATATCCAGATTGAAAACAGAGTGTGGTTGTCAATTTACTTGTAAACTAGAAGGAATGTTCAAAGACATCACCTTATCGAATTCCACAGCTGACGATTTCCGTTCACATGTAAACCAGAAACGCGTAAGTTTAGCCATAGTGTTGCGTTCAACGATTGTATTCGTTTGTTTCTAGTTGAATTTAAACGGTATTGACTTGTTCGTACGTGTTTTAACAACAGGCTTTTGGCCAACACAGAGCAATACTAATCAATGCAACTTGCCAGCAGTTGTTCGTGAAGCGTATCAATGCTTTCATCGTTTTTATTTGAACAAACACAGCGGAAGACAGTTGACCTTGCAGCCAAGTCTAGGCTCAGCTGATTTAATCTCGATTTTCTATGGTAAACCTAAAGAGGACGACGCTGATGGAGAATTTCGACCGACAACTACTACAGCAACGGTAATCAAAGAACGAAAGCATACTCTACAAGTTTCCACTTACCAAATGGTTATTTTGATGTTATTTAATACTAAAGATTCCTGGACATTTGAAGTAAATCTTTTCGAGTGATATCGCAATTTCATTTTTCTCTTTCTTTCTTTCTTTTCCAAGGAAATGCATCACGAAACAGATATCAGTGAAAAAGATCTTCAACGAGCGCTACTGCCCTTATCGATGGGTAAACCAACGCAGCGTATATTTCTGAAAGAGCCAAAGACAAAAGATATTCAAGCAAATGATAGATTTATTGTTAATGACTCATTTACGTCGAAACTCTATCGTGTGAAAATCAACCCACTTACAGCGAAAACAGAAAGTGATCCCGAACGGCAAGAAACGCGAAATAAAGTTGAAGATGATCGTAAGCACGAGATCGATGCAGCTATTGTACGTACAATGAAAACCAGAAAAACGATGTCACATGCTCAATTAGTTGCCGAAGTAAGAAATGCGATTTATTCGAGAGAATTTGAATGTTCTATTGATGGTATTTCTAGGTAACACATCAGTTGAAAGCACGTTTTGCGCCTAGTCCTGGTTTTACTAAGAAACGAATTGAAAGTTTAATTGAACGAGATTATTTATCGCGATTATCAGATGATAGGTAAGCAGAATCTATTTTCTTGGATTGTTCTCCTCAACGATCATTTTTTATTGTAGAAAAATGTATAGTTACGTTGCCTAAGCAAACAAACAATCGGTTTTGATGATTCTGTCTCTCTTCTTTTTTTTTACTATTCGAATATCATCTGTGAGATTATATTCATTTCTATTTTCTTCTTTACTCTACGATCTCCATGACGATGATTATCAACATCAATACTACACATAAACAGAATTGTCTTCCTTGTTTCTTTTCATTCTGTCAGTGTCCTATCGTATTTTTTTTATTTCTTCAAATTCATCTGAGCCTTCTACTTCTACTTCTTCTCTTCTTGTATCTCAAAGAATATACATATATTTGGCTCACGTACGCATCGAATCGCGCATGTAACTGTATCATCAGAAACCATTTTGAATGATCGTTAACATACAGAAACGAGATCATACATTTCACTCGGATCTCAAATGACGATGAATAAATTTACTGTTTAATCATTATAACGCTCTTCTTACTCAATGAAAAAGAAGCAAAAGGTCTACAAAGATTATTCTCGCCAAAACCACAGTCATGAGCGCGGTGATTGTTTTAACAATGCAAAGTTGACATCGTGTTGTTTTCTTCTCAAATGAATGAATCTGTCACAATAGATATTTACTGCGTACCTGGAGGTTATTCAACGTTTGACTTTTCCTTCAGTCCAATATTTATTGTGTATTATCAACCGAAACGACTCAACGTAAGGGAAAAAAAGGAGAGGAAAAGAGAGATATTCGAATGTATAGACGTCGTCGTCGTCGTCGTTTTTTCACCTTGTAATACTGATCAAGAGTGTCCACGCTTGATCGCTTAAATAGTCTTTCATTTTGAGGCTTTCTTTTGTTCGCTTTGATACGATAGCTTGAGATTTATTTCGAACATGGCTTCATCATCCATGAATCCAGTTGCACTATCGTCACATAATAAGGAGAAGTTAGAGAAATTAGTAAAAGAGTTGAACAAACTTGAATGGGAAAGTGGTGAATATTATTTTCATAATTTTGTGGATTATTATCAATTACCGCAAATCGTTCGTATTGAGCAAACGTGGAATACGAATCTGATTAAAAATCAATGGGTATATTTACAAGCCTTATTTGATCGATATCTAATCATAGCATCTCCACTGGTATCAAGTAAATCAACGAATTCCAAACAAAAATATTTGGTACCTGATTGGTTCCAAGGCGAGTGTCGAATAATTTCGAAAAATCCAACTTTGAAAAAACGCTGGTGGGTGTTTCAAGGGACATTTGAATTGTATCGATTTGATCTACCACGATCAATTAAAGTTCTAACTGATACGCCGGCACATGTACGCAAGAGAGAAGCATCATCGACACACGAATGGGATAAGATTGTTTTACGTAAAAATGCTCGTTTGAACGTCGTTCGTCGTGAACAATATCAATCGCGTATTAAAAATGAGAAAGGTGAATTACTTGCAAGTGAGCCCAAAGATGCATTTATCTTACAAGATCCTTCAACTGGGCATGAATTTATCCTTCCACCTGGTGTTCCATTACGTTTCGCAACATTGATCGAAGATAATGAATTACATCCGGAATACAAAAGTCACAATGGAACATTTACATTTCCTGAAATCATGATGCGGTATGATTTACCGTTGGAAGTGGAAATCACCACACATTTACCGGTTGATTTACCCGATTTCAAATCACAAATAAAACTCGAAACTTTTTGTGTTGCCAAATCGGTTATTGGATTTACACTCGGTGGAGACAAATCGCAACTAATAGATCTCTCGCCATTAACACAATTCACCATACATTGTGCAAAGTATGCGGAGGAAAAGTTTGTTTTGAATATTCAGATATACACTCGAATAGTTTAGATGTTTAACATATGGCCTTCCACGTGACGGTGATAATAGTGCGAAAGGTGATAGTGGAAAGGATGAGAAATTCGACGAAAAAGAATATCAACGCTATGAAGATCTTCGAAGTAAAATGAATACGATCTTTGACGATGCAGCAGAGATCTTCAAAAGCAAAATTCTAGTTGCAACAGAAGAAGAAGTATAAAAGATTGATTTCGAGAAAACCGTTTTTCGATTTATCTGATCTCTCTAGCTTGATTGCATACGAACAGCGTTTGAGATTAGTGTGAAGATGAAAGATGAAGATGACCGACCAGTGGATACGAGTTATTTAACATTAGAACAAGCTCTTAAGGTTGTCAAACAGCCGAAAGACGAGATTCCATTTCCCAAAGCACAACCAAAACGTTTCACTGTTCATGCCAGCGCCGATCCAAGTAAACTCGACTCTCTCTCTTCTGATATTTATTCTAAACCATCGAGTTTTCAGGCAATCCATACAATGAAGTTATTGATTACGAAGATATGGATGCTTTGAATCAAAGTGTGGACGGTAAACCCGCTGAAAGAGCGAAGTTAAGCAAATCGCGAAGTGAATCAAGATCGAAAAAATCATCGCGTAGTAAACCAAAACAACCAACGAATCAATCAAGCAAACGTCCGGCACTTGTGGTTCAACAATTACCACCTCCGATGCTTTTACCGCCGTAAGGATTCAAAGGAAACTCAGACGCCGAATTCGATCGTTCTGTTTTGTTTAGAGAAACATTCGAGAAAACTGTCAAGGCGATTCCTGATAAGCTTTACACTGATTTCATTCCTGCTAGTGCTTCCGCTTCGAAGTAAGTTCATTGGTTTATTCTTGATGCCATCATATAAATATATACTTTTATTCTCGTAGGAAAGCAGATAAACCACCAAAACCTGAATCAAAAGAGAAATCTTCAAGGAAAAGTCGTAAATGATCGTCTCGATCACTTATCAAACATTCGTTCTTTTTAGCTTTTTAATTCTATTAAAATAGATGAATAAACAAAATAGATCAACATCAATGATTAGATCTTAATATCAGGTACTACTCGTCGTGGAACATAACCCAACGAAGTCTTATATATAGAATTCATCTGAATATCTCGACGAGGTTCAAGTCGAGCAGGTTGTCTAGAAGATTGAAACGCATACGGATATCTCGACCTTCTTCGATACTAAAGAAATCCATAAAGAATTTCCTTTACATGTCGAAGTGAAAGATACTCTTACGTCAACAGGACAAAGATTTGTTAATTCATATGTATTGATTTCTTCCGTTTGTTGACTATTAACTTTAGATGTGTTTGAGTCAATGTAAGATATCTTAATCTACGTTTTAGAAAATCAATATGCAACTAGGTGAAATCTTTCATAGGTTTTACCTGATTCAGTTTCGTTCGAAGAAAAACCGTTTTTTTCCGTAAAACATACTAAAATCTCGTTTGATTCCTTTCAACAAAAAAGAACGTCAAACATACCAGAAAAGCACAGTATGCCGCGAGTTGATTGCTCAGTTTGATAGCTCGCAAGATTGTTATTTGAGGATTGGGTAGAACATCCAGAATTGTCAATAAACTGACGATTGCGTACATTACAAACCTATTTGGAACGAATATCAAAAGAGAAAACAAATTTCATTTCTTCTTACCAGATTGAAAAGATAAATAAAAAGTCAAATCTTTTTCCAGATCGTTTCGTTGTCAGTCGTAGCGAAATGACAAACCAGAAACAAGTCAAAATATGCAAAACAATTTCGAAACATTCGCAGATAAGCAACACCTTCTCATTCTCCAACACTCGCTCGGCAAACTAAACACAACCGTCCGATCTCAACCGATCAATCAGCTCAAATTCATTGACTTACGATTATGGAAAGAATTAATAACACAATTTCGACGTGAATATATACAATGATTACCAAGAGGATCTGTACAAAACTTGACTTTTTCAATTGAGCCGAAACAATGCAATAGCCCTTTGCACAAAGTATCAAAACAAGCAGAAACAAAACCTGACCGATTAAAGCAGAGAGTCGTGCGAAAACGAGTAAGAATTGCAGAATAAATGCATGGAGATTTCCCGTTACGGCATAGATAAGTGTGTGAATAAACATAATTAAACTACCCAACCACGAACATAAAATCACCGTGGAAAAGAATTTCATAATCAAAGATAACTTTGTCTTGAATGAATCTACAGGCATTTTCGAGAAATGAAATAAATCATCTATCTTAATCAATCACTTACAAGTATATCGAATAATGATCAATAGAAATATTGTGAAAATAATCGTGTTGACAATGTACAATTCCAATAGTCCTTTGAAACATCGAAAATGATTTGGTAAGATGAAGTTTTTCATTGAATCTACCTCGTTCATCATCGGAAAATTGTTTTGTAAAAACATTTTCCCCGTTTGTCAAGCTCAATCGATATGTAATAAAGAAATCCTATTGCCTTCCATCGATTGAATATTTTCAATGATCAATAAAAAAAAAACTTACCGTTCGATCCGCAGATGAATTACAACTCTTTAACAGGAAATACCATCGACCAGGAGAGGTAAATGTCGACGAAAATACCCATGAATTGGTCTGATTGACTTCTTGTTGTAAAATCAGTTCTTTTCTCAAACAAACATCTTCCAAATTGTCTTTTAATTCTCTCCATTCTTGTTGATTTAACATAAAAACTTTCATGACCTTGTCTGCCGACTAAAAAGATAAATTCTGCTTTCTGAAACGGTCAGATCATCATTGTCCTACATTGCCATTGACCTGAACATGTCCGTGAACGGGATGAAAGGAAAATCTTGTTAGGAAAATCCAATTCTAAATATTGGCCTTCAATAAATATAATGATTAGCAAATATTATTGTGTTACGTACAAGATTTGTGTCGATGTAATCAAATATTATTCTCCCTGAAATAGTTTCTAACAAATAAACAACAATAATGAACATTAACGAGAAGAAGTTCATTGCTTCTCCTTTTCCTCGTCGATTTCAGGCCAAGAAAAATGATTGATAGACAACATCGGTGCCGATTGTATATACCAATCGAGTTTCTTTCTTTCTCCTTCGAACTCTGAGAGAGAAAAACTTGGCAAGAACGAACAAATAAATAGATAAAAAAACTTCTATGAATTTCAGGATATAAACACGTACGATGCAGAAATCATATAGCATACATCCGACTTCCATTTACTTTAACACGCAAGGGTCTTCGAAAGACGAATATCGAATGTGATAAGTGAATGGCTGATAGTGACACACTTTTTTTTATTATTGCGAAGGAGAAGATGATTGCTCTATTCTATACACCATTCGTAAAAGACAGGTGAAATATTCGATTCAATTCGAGTTCGCGTCACGATGGCAGCTGTGAATAGACTTCCTTTACATGGTGTTAAAGTTCTCGATCTAACACGAGTTTTAGCAGGTAAAATCAACATTGATGGAGAAAATCATTTGTCAAATATCGATCTAAAGGTCCTTTTGCTAGTATGGTACTAGCTGATTACGGCGCTGATGTAATTAAAGTTGAAAAACCCGGTAAACAAAAGGAGATGATTGTGTTTCGCAAAAATGTCTAAGGTGATTTTTTGTGAAAAGGTCAGGGTGATGATACAAGAACATGGGGACCGCCTTATGTTGAAGATCAGAGTGCATACTTTCTAAGTATCAATCGAAATAAACGAAGCATTGCAGTCGATATGAGTCGCCAGCAAGGTCAAACTATTATTCATGAAGTAGGTTTATTTAGAAGAAAAATATTCAGTCAAAGGAATAGTTTTGTCTGTCGTAGCTTGCGAAGAAAAGTGATGTTTTAATCGAAAATTACCTACCAGGCCAGTTGAAGAAATTCGGATTGGAATATAAAGATCTTTGTGCGATCAACGATCGATTGATTTATTGTTCAATAACAGGTTTGGTTGATAAGAGAAGGAAACTGGTTTTAGTTTCGTTTAATCAATTGAGGTTATGGGAATCGAGGTCCTTATTCAAAGCGACCAGGCTATGATTTGATCATTCAAGCGTTGGGTGGAATGATGAGTATTACAGGAAGTTCAGTAAGAATGATTCATTGCATTTATTTATATTCAGTCAATAATATATAAATCCAAAGTACTTAGGAACCTGTGAAAGTGGGTGTTGCAGTAATTGATTTAGCCACTGGTTTATCGAGTGTTGGAGCTATCACTGCTGCTCTTTATCAACGTGAAAAGAATGGCAAAGGGACAAAAATTGAGTGCTCATTGCTGGAAACTCAGGTATTTGGTCGTCGAAAAGATCGACTCAACAAACGATGAATTTGCTTTTTAGCTTGCGCTTCTTTCACATATCGCCGCGAATTATTTAAATGCTGGTTGGGAAGCTAAACGTCACGGTACCGCTCATCCCTCGATTGTTCCCTATCAGGCATTCACATGTCAAGATGGCGAACGAATCATTGTTGGAGCAGCAAATGATCAATTTTTTAAAGAACTCTGCTCAGTAACGGATCCTTAATCCAAGCAGCAGACGATTTAGATAGTTGTCGTTCATTTCCATGTAGATTATCGACATGCCGGAGCTAGCAACCAATGATCTATTCAAGAGTAATAAACTTCGTGTTACTAATCGAACACAACTAATATCTATCCTATCGAAAAGGTAGAATTTGTTCTTTTTGATAGATAATCAAAAGTAAAGTATCGGTTTTGCGTGTACAGATTTCTAGAGAAACCTTTGGCTGACTGGAATGTTCTTTTTGAAAAGTCCAATAAGATTCCATTTGGTCCTATCAATGACATGAAAGGTGTTTTCAGCAACGAACAAGTTCGTCAACAATATACAAATCGATGAAAACCGACTCAACCTATTCGTCGTTTTAGGTCATGTTTTCCAAACAAGTTCTGGAGATAAAGAATCCGAATCGCACGAAATCCGTTCGTCTTGTTGGTAAATAAAAATGAACCATTGTAAACACTTGTCATTGAATTTGTTTAGGTCCGTCGGTCAATTTCGAGAACATCGAAAAATCTTCGATGCTTCGTTATTCACCTCCTCTCCTTGGTGAACATACCCGATCAATTCTTCAAACAGAACTGAATTACACTGATGAACAACTTGACAAACTTCTTCGGGAGAAAATCATTCAATAAATTCTCATGATTCTCGTTTATTTCTATTTCAAAGTATGAAAAAAATATATGTATACGATAGAAAGTCTCACGCGAGACACGTCGATAGCGTTTCTTTTACGAGAGAAGAAATAGATGAGATTATATATGACAATATCATCTGTATCAAAAGCAGTCTTGCGCATAAATATTGCCAGTGGAAAGAATAGAAGAGAGGGGAAAGCTGAGAAACTCTATTGTGATTTTTGCTTTTGCTATTTACATATGATGTACAAAGTTCAAGGAAGAGAAACACTATCACACAGGAAAGAGAGGAGAAACACACATATGTCGTCATTCTTCAGCATTTCGATTCATCATTTTGATCTTCGCTTATATGTTCGAGATCTTCGTATTCACCATGTTTGTACTTATGACGTAGCTAAATGAAAAACAACAGGTGTTAATAAAACAAAATTCATCGATGAAATGTTACTTCATGCATATATAAACATGAGACATTCATGTCTAATTGCGCTGCACCCGGTAGACCTTGTATAGGCGCTAGAGAACTCATAAACGATTGAGGATCTGTCATATCAAACATTTGAGTTTGAAGTCTAGAAATAGAATTATAGAACGTCAGTTTGTTTGTTTTTTTGAGTAGAGAGATTTCTTCTACTTTGAAAGTACACCAAACTGTGCTAAACTTCGATAAGGTAAATCAGCTTTTGAGACACCACCATTGAGAAAACTGTTTTGTACGATTGAAGTATTAGGTAGAACAGACACAGTGGTATGCGATGGAGAATACAGAGCAGTATTTATTAGAGGCTTCGATATTACCGAACGGTTATGCAATGATGTTGTAGCTGAAACAAATTCAACAGGTCTCAATTCCCTTATTTTTTGCATTGAAAATAACTTACATAATGGATCACTATAGAAACTTCGTTGACCTTGCAGAGTTTGCATGTCAGTCATTGATTGTTGAAGGATCGATGATCCTTGTGCATCTTCGACGGCTATAGGAAAAGATTCAATAAGCAAATCGATTTGTTGGGAAAGGATTTGTGTACCTCGTTCTTGAATTTTCTCTAAATATGCTTCGCATTGTTTTGGCATTTGCCAATCGGGATTCGTATGATGAAAATGCATCAATGATAATTCAAGTTTGCCATCATTGGTTATTCCAGCATCAGTTGCATTGCTTAATTTTGGACGCATCGGTGCGAACCACTATTGAAAGAAACTTTCTTTATTTGTTCTCAGTTGAATAAAAGAAAATTACTTTCAAATCTCCATGTTTTGCAACGTCTAACTGTGCAAAGCTGCAAACATCACCAACACCTTGGACGTCAACAGTGAAATTTCTCAAGAAATCAATGATTTGTAGTGATCTACGACGTAGATGGAAACATAGAACTAATGGCGTAACAAATGCACTAAGAAGTTCTTCGAGAAAATAAACCTTGAAAGAACAAAATTGTCAGGAAAAGAAATGTCTTTAAAATATCAATTCACTTACATATTTCAATTGAAACATCTGTCCGAATTCCGCTTGAACATAATCTGTATGTGCATGATCTTTCCATGCATCTGGTTGATAATGAACTTGTGCGAGAACGAGCTGCATCATTTGTTCAGGATCGAAAACAGCGTGCTAAAAAAACATCAATCAAAATTCAAAAAGAGCCACTCGCGATTGACGTTTACTTCATCTGGTATTAACGATCGACAAACTCCAATTACTACACCGAGACTCGTCATTGTTGTTAACATATGTTCAACATTGAGAACATCTTCATCATAAACTGTTAGTAGAATTAAAACAGCTAAGATAGCACCAGTTGTAAAGCTTATAAATCTGAAAAGATAACAAATATCTCATGGAAAAGAAATCAGTTTCTCTTTCTGCATCTTACTTGGCCATTTCAACAATACTATAGTTGACAAATGAGTTCATGTAACTTATAGCTGGTCGATAACCACGATTCAAGCGTTGATTTAGCGAATGGTCTAACTCGTTGAAATGCCGTAAATAAAGTCGACCATAGTTACTCCATCGGCGACTACCTAATACACCTGGTTCGCGTCGCACAATCTAAAAAAAAGAAAACAAAGAGAAGGGTTATCGGAAGGATTATCGTTCAATATCGTACTTCAGTGTAACCATAGAATAGATTCAAGACTTGCCATATGAATATGAATGGTGATAGAAGTAAATTAGCAAGACCATAGAGTAAGATGAATTGTGACAATCTAAGCGATTTTTCTCGATATAGACAAGAAGAATTGAACTCAAAACTTACTGTTTAGATAATTTTTCACGTTGACTGTAGATTTTGTACTCCTGTCGTAGATGCCATCGTTGATCAAAAGGTGCATAAGGTCCCCCTAAACATTCGTTTCATGATAGACTACTCATCGGTTCCCTTAGAAGACAAATTCAATACTTACAGAATAATATTAAACGAAGATTGAATTTAAAGCCAGTTGTAAGAAAAACTCTGATAGAAACAACTCAATGTTCATCAAACGAATATCGATAGAAATAACTTACATATCATTCAAAAATGGTAGACGCAATCTTGATGGTAAAATTCCCTTATTGACAAATGCCACTTCGTAGTTTTTAAAACGTAATAGTCGATTATGTATATCCAATTCTGATAGATGAGATTTATGTATACATAGATGATGTGTTCGTTGAGCGATTAATAATCGTTGTTGAACTTCATGCCAAGTCATGTTCAATAGATCGTTCTAAACAAGCAAAGCGAAAGTAAACATGGCACCGATGTAATTTTCGTGTGACTAACTGGTTTGATATCTAATGCTTGAGCGTAGAATGCTCGTATATTGTAAAAGGATAGAAGATTGTAGATAGCACGCGATAAACGATAAAGCCAATAGATTATTGATAAAAATATACACAAACGAGTCAAGAGATTCATCCTAAATGAAGAGAAGTTTTTCCTTCGAAGAAAAGAGTCGTCGTGTGAGAGAAGGTCAACTAACTGGTGGAGGCATTGTTGTGGTGATTGAATAATTTCATTGAAGTGTATTTTATGTGTGATATTTCTAGCGACTGGAGTTGAGCGAAATAAAAGCGGATAATCAATACATTGAACGATGAGGAGAGTAAATGATACAATAAATACAAATTGTCTAATGAAAGAAAATGTTTGTCCGATTGAGAAAACAGTCGGAAGAGATCAACTTACACAAGACCAAAGATTTCGGAAAGAATTATACAAAAAAATCCATGTCGTTGATGGTATTGATACACACGTACGAAGAAATCATCGAGATCTTTTTGATGACTCCATCGGGATTCTAACAGGTAAAAGGAGACAATGGTAATTCTTCTTGTTTTCTATTCATGAATATATCACATACGTTTTTCAGTGTTAATTTGATCTTCTTGTGTATCAAATTGAATGAATGGTGACAGTGTTTGATCTTGTCCTTCTGGAGTATCGTTCTCTTCAGTGACAAGAGCTCGATAATCCATTTTCAAACTGTTCGTCAATTAATAGATGTATATATATATCGATAAATTTTTTACTCGGGTGATTATCTGAAAGAATAACAAGAACATGACATCAGAGATTGTACTATTTCTTTGTATCCAAATAAAGAAAAAACGGTTTATTTATGTGCGATATGCTCGTCTTTGTCGTTTCCTTGGTTCGGAAACTGTTGGCACTTCTTTTTCTACGATTGGCGATTCTTGAATCACTTCGCCAGTTACTGGAAACAGATCTCCAGGTGCAGCATGATGTGATAAACGATGAAGACCTCTAAAATATCATTCTTCCTCAATCAATTCCAAATAAATTTAAAAAGCATCAACATACACTCCATGTTTGTTCTTGGAAATCGGCACATTGACATATTGCCCGTTTGGACAACATAATCGAACATGCTGATGATGTTTTCGATCAACGATCGGTTCAATAACACGTGGCCATTTCATATATACATCTTCAGTATGAAAGAAAAGAGATACATACATAACAATGATTCCATAGGATATATATTATGAACATACCATTGCTATCACGTTCTGCTTTTCTCACCACGATATACGACATATCTGTCATTGTATAATCAGGCAAATTCTAAGAAAGAAAGACAATTATTGTATCGATTCAGTCTAGATGAACTTTTTGCTCTCACTTGTTTGATATCGAAAATTTGTAATGGCCGATAACGAGTCGATATTCGACATGGAATATTTAATTGCTTTTTCGGACATATTAACTCATGAGGGCACTGAATTTCATCAGGTAGAATATTGCACAATATTTAGTCAATCTTGCTTACCGGTGAGAACATATGTGCTGGAGACGAGTGTCTCTCCGACGATGATGAGTCATCAGTTTCGGTCGTTGTTGATTCTTCGCTATTCACATCAGTGCTTTTTTCCTTTGAATCGCCTGATGTAGCGATACGCTAAAAAGATTCGAATCATCAGCTGATTTGTTGGTAACATGCAGTTCTTTTCTCCCTATGGTTATCAGTTATCTTATCGGGTTACAAATGTTGCTTGGAAAGCTCGAAAAGAGGCACACGAGTGTCGGGCACTCTCGTATTTCTCTCACGGCTGATGAAAAAACGTCATGCTGATATTTTCTGATAGATATCTATACGTACGTATAGGAGATTTTCACGAGCTTCATTAATTGCTGTATATCCATGTATAGTGCCCTGTTCGACAAGAATCTAAAAGATTCCGTTATTCACAGATATGAAACAACATGAATGGATGAAGAATTACTAGAAATCCATTTGGTTTGACATTGTACCATAGTGAACGAATAGTTTTCAAGCGTTCGAATCGATTTTCTAGTTCGAATAATGTATGATCAGCAACTACAAGATCGAATGTATTCTAAAAAACTCTCTTTGATTCTTCTCTTCGAAACATATCATCCACTGATATGTTCAACATACTTCACGTCCGTGCGGCATAAATTGTCGATAGATAACATTCGGAACAAGTGGAACTTTGTTTTGTTGGCCACCCTGTAAGATTAGTTGCGAAAGATTATTCATTTCGCGTGATTTATCAATGTTGAGAAGCTCAGCAAATGCTCTTTTTCCCCATGTATGTAAAGCTGCCCTTTGAATATCAACGAGATTAGAATATTGGAGTTGATTGCAAAAGAACACACTCACCACATGACAGAGCCAGTTCCTGATCCGAAATCTAACATTCGAACAGGTTGAAAGTCTCGTTCTCTTCGTTTAATCTATACAGAAGAAAGTGACTTTTCGATTCGAATTAGATGGATTAGCAAACTTCATTGAAAATTTGTACCAACATCGCATAGTGTGCAGCAAAATTAGCCGCTAAATACACTTTGGATTTATATTCATCAAATCTAATCGAGAAAGACGATGATAAAGCGGCTTGTTTTCTCTGGTGAACCTTACGCTAATGGTTGCCAATGATAGATCGATGATTTCAATCGTTTGACTAATTCCCGTTGTCGAAGCAAATTGACCTGTTCGCGTTGATCTGGACTCATTGCTAACGTATTGATCGGTGCTGAACAGTCAAAGAATATAAATAACAAAACAAATATTGATTCTATGCTAATCGATTTTACGTTCAGCTTTGATTAAGTTTTCAATAACATTCTGAGCGATGGATTGTAATTCGCGTCGTTCGAGTGGTAAACGTCTTTCAACTAAATGATCTTGTAGCGATTTTCTATCGATCTTCAAACGTTGTGGCTCAATATCTACGATAGAAGTAATAGGATAAGTCGTGTTTTGCACAACATATCGTGTAAAATAGTTTACCGGATAGAATTGCATTGATACTTTCTTCTAGTTTTCTGGGTAGTTCAGTTTTACAATGGAATTTTCCTTTGTGTTCTTTGAAGAACGCTAGTTTTCGATCATTGGATTCTGTTTGTTTATTGACATCAGGGTCAAGTTCAAGGCGAATATTTTTCGGCAGGTTTTCAACAAACTGGAAAGGATTGACTCAAAACAATTCTCTAGATAATAACATTCGTTTGTTACTCACTCGTCGCGAAATATGATTAATCAATGGGAATGATTTGCGAGAAAACATTTATCTAAAAGACAAAGATCCGATTGCAAATTTGACAATGAATAATAGAGAAAAAGATTGAATGATCCACATCGACAGTGACAGAAAAAGGAAAAATCACAGTCCAAGCGTTTTTCGGACACTACGCTTAGCTGTTTCATCAAATTTTTCACGATTTTCGCGAAACATCTTTGCGGCATCGACATTTGCTGGACTGGCTTCGTTTGGTTCTTGAAAAGAACAATAATCATCAATTCGATCAAGAGAATACAAAGCTTATTTACCAGCAAGCAGAGAAACAACCGAAAGTAAAATCTTTTCTATACTTTGTACAGGACTCCAGCGTTCAGCACTTGTTTCATAACCCTAGAAAAAGAGAATCTAGTTGGATGCAAAGCTAAACATTGGATTTTCATACCATTGGATCATCGCCAGGCGCATGTAAAATTGAAATACATACTCTTCCATCAGGGTAAACTAATCCAAATGGCATGACATAGTTTAGATCAGAAACAGAAGTGTTGAACATACCATTGGGATGAAAAATTTCGCTGACAAACTTCATTTTTGGTGGACTCAGAGGATAATCACTAGGAAAATGAAGTCGAGTAACAAAAACACCGTATTCAAATGATGTGCCACTTGGTCCTCTAATGAAAACGAGAAACTAAGCAAACAGTTGATGGAAACTTATCTACTTACGTAATTAGTGCCTCCCATTCAAAAAAATTCTCATCACTAATAGGTCCAGCTAAAATTCCATCAGGTGGATTATTTGTTAATTCTAGAAGATTAAAATACAATTTTCTTATTTCCTAGTCAAATGATGAATCCTTACGTTTGTATTCGGCAATTAATCGTCGTAACGCTGACCCAGCCATCTGAAAATATTCTAATAGATAACATTCGCTCAAAGAAACAAAACCTGCAAAGTTCTTTTTATTCTTTTTCCTAACATAGTGAAAAAAAGAAGATTAACTATGTTTTGTTCTGTTCAGATTTTACGTATGTGTCTAAGTAATGACTCAACAATCGAGCAGGATGATTAGCTAATGATAATGTTCGACTGCCAGGTAATTGTGTAATAGAAACCAATTCTCCTTGGAAGTAATCGATGTTCGGCAGTTGATTTAACGCTTCCAATCCAGCACGATTGTATAAACGTCCGTCAACGAGACCACCTAGATGAATACGAGACTAAACGAATTAAATATGTATAATTCATGTAATTACCGATTAGCAACAGATTATTTCGATATTTTTTGAGTAATTTGAACGCTGATGCCAGATTATTATCTTTATGAAATAAATAAATGGTTTCAAAGCCAAATGATAAAATTGGCGGAAGAAAGTTTTCATATTGTTTGTTATTTGCTAATGCTAAGCTAAAAAAGCAGCACAAGGATGTGAAGAAGAAATATGTGGCAAGAATTACTGTGGAACGATTCGAGGAAATTTCATGAATTGAAATCCATTTTTCAAGAATTGCATTCGAGCGATGGTATATCGAACTGTATTTGAAGAAAAGGAAATGTATTGAATATTCCTTGATGGAATGCTTTTCACTGACTCGATGGAACAATGCAAATCTCTTGACAAAGTAAAACAGTTCGACTTGACTCGAGCATTTCACGAAATCGGCGAGCACGAAATTGATCATATTCCGAAGCCTGTCAACGGAAATCATGCTCGATCTTTTCTTCATCAAAACTATTCATACTAATTCAATATCTTCTTGATCAAGTAAAATCTTCTGTTTCACATGTTCTCGATAACAATCTTCAACCGGATCAGGTAGTGGTTTTTCCAAAACTGGTAATGCAATATCTTCTAAAAATCGTAACAGATCAGGTCGTGATCGAGGGATTCTGGTATTTATCTTCAGATGACGAACACAGGATATCGTCGTTGGACGAGGAACTACACATCATCAAAACAAATCAATGGTGGCTCACGTCAGAAACTGCGATCGTTGATTAACTCACCGAATCGAAATATCGAATACATAATCGGAAAATACGCGTCTTTATTTATTAACAAGTTCTTCTTTGCTCAGATGACTGAAGCGACATCTGATTGGCGGAAATTTTAACCAATAGAAAATAAAGAACGCAACCTCTTCAGTCATGTCTCTTGTGAAAGCAAAGTAGAAAAAGACTTTTTCACTTTTTTTATATTTATTTTATTTCGAAAATCATTTTTAAAGACATGAATTTTGATTGGATGTCAAGAAACTCATCATCGTATCCATCATCAATCGAGTAGTACATACACACACTACTGTACAGTACGTAGACATCGACACATTTCTCTTCTTTCCTTCCTTCCTCCTTCCTACAACCGAAACTTGTCAATCAGAAGAGAAAAAACTTTGTAGAATAGAATCATCATCAAGTATATAGATCAGTACGACCTTTTGCCAGTTCTCTCTTTTGGTTATAATTGATGACGGTGATGATCATCATCAGCGTCATAATGTTCGACTGTTTTCTTCTTCCTTCGAACATTAGCCGAAGCATATGAAAAAAAAAGAAGGAAAATTGATCGCTAGTAGCATCGACGAGTAAAAAGAAAGAATGTGATTGTACAGTTCCTACGATTCAATCTTCTCATTTTACAATGTTGATTCATTTAGTTCATGTTACAATTCTAGATGTTACGATTTTGTTGTCAAAGATAACAAAAGCCAAAACGTACGACGAAATCAACCTACAAGTTTTGCTCAATGGCAAATAAATTAAACCCTCATCAAAGTGTGCCAATCAAATTGGTGATTGTAGGTGATGGAACCGTGGGAAAAACTTGCATGTTAATGTCATTTACAAGTAACACATTTCCTGAAGAATATGTTCCTACAGTGTAAGTTTCGAGCGATTTCTTTTCTTTCATAATCGAACTTGTTTCTGTTCTTTTCAGTTTTGATAACTATACATCGAATATTGTTGTTGACAACGTTAAAGTTTCCTTGGGTCTATGGGATACAGCTGGTCAAGAAGATTATGATCGACTTCGACCATTATCGTATCCTCAGACGGATGTGTTTGTGCTTTGTTTCAGTGTTATAAGTCCCACGTCATACACTAATATAACGAATAAGTGGATGCCAGAAATTCGACATCATTGTCCAGATACGCCCGTTATTCTATGTGGAACGAAAATTGATCTACGCGAAGATCGAGATTTCGTGAATCAGTTGCAAAAGCAAAATCTTCAACCAATTAAACGCGAACAGGGACAACGTCTATGTAAAAAAACTCGTGCTTTTAAATATGTCGAATGTTCAGCTTTGACTCAGAAAGGTCTCAAACAGGTTTGTTTCGTTCTTTCCACCCGAAATCATTTCTACTCTTCTCTTTGCTCATAGGTCTTCGACGATGCTGTTCGAAGTGTTTTATCACCTAAAACGAATAAAGCATCTAAACCTTCATGTGTTTTTCTTTGAACGAATTTCATACAGATCTCTTTGTAAATAATCGATCAATCTTATTCTCACGTGTTCACATGGCAATCAAGCTAAAGCAAAACGAAAACATTATTCTCATGTATAAACGTTGTCTTCGTTTTTCTTTGTCACAGTGCATTGTTTGTCTAATATTCTCTCGTCTTCCATTTTGTGCAAGGGTTAAGAAAAAAGTTCATTCGTTTGCTTGTTTGTTTTTTCTTTGGTCTTCTCATTCGTATTGTATTTAGTACGCATGTTTGCGTTCAGGGATTTTTTTTTACATATTAAAGAGCGAGTGCAGGAAAATCGAAACTTCAAGAACAATTGAATTTAATCAAAAATTTCGCTTTAGATTTTCAATCACAATGCCTGTGAAAGAAATATTCTACAGTGAAACATATAAAGATGATACTTATGAATATCGACATGTGATTTTGCCGCCTGAACAAGCACAATTAGTACCGAGAACGCATTTATTAACAGAAACTGAATGGCGGAATTTAGGTAAGAGAGACTCTTGATGAACAAGGTGTTCATTGATATATTTCCTAGGTTTACAAATGTCGGCAGGGTGGGTGCATTTTATGCTGCATAATCCAGGTAAGAGTAGAGCTTTATTATTGATTGTCAATTTTTGGTAATGGAAAATCCTTCATCTTGCTATCTGATCAAGGACGATGGTGATGTAATGGAAATAGTATTTGTTTTGGTATTCTGATGAGAGAGAGAGTAGAGCTAACGATAAGAAATATTTTCGAAGATTAGTGTAAATGAATATCGCCTAATTGTTTCTCCTATATCATTGCATTGATAAGACATTTTTTTATCTTCGGATGGAAACTTAGTCGTTTTCAGATGAGTTCTGACATGATTCGATGTGAGAAGCGTACGCGGAAGTGTAATCAGGAGCTTGTTCTTATCGAATGTTTACAAAATCACTGCTATCTATTGACGTTTCCAGTCCATTTATTGATACCGAGCAAATAGATTGATATATGTATAATTGTTCTTTTTTCTTTCTAGAACCACATGTTTTACTCTTCCGTCGTCCATTGAAATCCAAATGAGTTCACGAAAATCTCCTATGTGTCTACCAAACGTGATATTTTTTTCAATTGTATATTATGATATTTTGTCAGTTAAACTCTGTTTGTTTTTACGTTTTTCATATATGATACAAATCTTCATAGTTGAAAAATAAGAACTCATGCCGACTGATTCATGTTGATCAGTTGCATCTCATCTTGCATTGTAAATCAAATCGAGTACATATGTTTTGTCGAAATTCGACACCATAATTGCTTTCATTCAAACGACTAAACAAGAAAAGCTTATAAAAAAATCAGATACGACAAGGAACGATAAATATTTATCGATATTCTACAATAACATCGTATTCATATCGTTTAGTTACACAAAATCGACGATTTCATCAACGTACGGGTGTAAGTGGAAAGGGGTACTCTTTCAACAATCTTCGGTGAAAAGCCCGATGTAAAAAAAGAACGTTGCATTCATGTCATGTGCTTAACTACATTTGCAATGTTCTGTTTCTTTTCCTTAACACTTGTCGGCAGTTGTATTTTATCAATTGCCCTTGGTTTTATTTTGCCAAAAATAAAAGAGAAAAAGTAAAAGGCAGCACGACAACGAAATTTTATCGCATTGCACAGCAAAAATAGAAAAGAGGACTTGTTTTCATGGCTTACTTCAATCCACTTCCAATGGCTATAGTTCAGAAGTTAGAAGAAAGTCGAATTCCGCGAGGGAGTATAATATTCTATCGAAATGACCAATGGGTATTTCAAGGTGGATCAACAGCAAATGAAGAACATGCACTATGCTCGCAACCTTTTGATTCATTGGGACCATTTGGTAAATATGTCTAACAATCGATTTAAAATATCGAAATAGAATATCGTTCTTATAAATTTAGATATTCAACCAGTAACAATCTCATTTGAAATGATTCCAGCGACTTGCCAATATACTATTCTAAGTATTGGAAATCAACGATTGAGAACAGAGGAACGAGCCACTGGTTACTACGCTCCGATAGCTCAAATTACACTCGAAGGATCCGCACGTTCAACGGCCAACATTCCCGACCATGCAACGCATTTTTGTTGGCTATATCCACCGAATAATGTTCCTAGTGCTGAGATTATTGGTGCAAATAATGAATACGAAAGAAATCTACTTCACATAGGTGGATTTGCATATTTCAAATTGAATGCAACTAATAATAGTGCACTCGAACTGATACGAGTTAATGCATTGATTGCTTCTGCAAAAAACGGATTAACATTTGAAGGTCCTTATCCATGGCGAGCGGAATTCACTGATCGGCTCTGGTCTGAAAATCGATTTCAGGTATGTTCTTCACACCTGATAACAATGATATATCAGACGAATTGTTTTAGCCGGTAACATTGTCGAATCTTCGTGAGAAAGGTGCACGATATTTTGCATTTATCAATCCATACGAAACTTTCGTTACTACTAATGATCGATCGAGCTGGACACCGTCATCGAATGGTGCTTTTGCATATTTATTCAATGACGATCATTCAGCACATCCATTCGATTGTTATTTTCCTGTTTCTGACGATTGTTTAGGTGTTGCACCATCTGCCGAAGATGTTTAGAAGTTTCATCTTTTGATTTGCTTATCTACGATTCACTGTCGTGTAAATCACAGGCATCATACATTTCAAGAATCTTTCTACGTCGTTTGGTTCTGCCCCAATAAACTTTTGATGCATTTTCTTTAACAAATTACCTGTGAGTTTACGCTAGATCATTGAGGGTATAAATGAACCGACATTATTACGCAGACATTTTGACGTATTTCTCGGCAGATTTTCTATTTTAAGTAGTCTAGTGTTGTGTTTAGCTGTCTGTTTAAGATCGCTTGTGTAATTAATGTAAAACGTGTGATGGAAGAGAAACATTTCAACGCTAAATTATTTTCAACTTTTATGGAACGTGTCACTCATCGTACTTTTTGGTTTCTTTCAATATACACCTATTCTCTTGCTCAATATTTACTTCGTTTTTTCTTTCCGTTCTATTGAAATCTCAGGAACAAATACTCCGATGTCAGAAGTTTAAATACATGCCTTTTTTTCCTCTCGTTGAGAAACACCAGAGATTAGATTTAATGCATGACGTGGATGATAAATCGCTGTAAGCCGGAAAGAGGCGGTAAGAAAGAAAACTGCATTTGACAAGTTTCAACATGTCTTCGTCATCGGTTGCCAAGCCTGACATTGTTCCCGTAGCCTCATACGTCGCCTTTGCTTTTATTGGTAGTGTTGTGCTTATTGGTTTAATCGCACGATGTTTTGCATTGAATCATTCGACTATGCGGGGAGCATATAGTCATGATCTGATGATTTATCAAGCAGCACCAAAACCAGCTCCAGCGATTAAGGCAAGACGTCAATCTTTCGAACAAACGTTGGACTCAAGTAGTGATACTCGAGACGGCAAATCAACATCCGAAGATTCAATTATACCTGTTCGAGTTCAACGGGGACCGAAAAATCTATAATCTTAATTGTATCAATATTTGTATAAATGAAAAAGCTTTCAAATACACCTTTGCTATTCCTGTGCACATCTATATATTCTTTTCTTGGTCAAACTTCCTATTTATTTCTTCTGCTTCGACTTCTGATTCGATGAAAATGTGAATAATTTATTTATTGCCACACATATGAACAGAAACACTTCGTAATTTGTTTTTCACTACATTAAACCTCATAAGGAAATTCTTTGAGAATATGAGACTGAACACAATCTTCAAACTATCAGTACGTTTCTGTATTAGCAAATCGAATGCCACAGAAATGTAAGTTAACCTGTGGGTGATTGACGTTTGCTTTTATATTCTATTATTGAATATGACAAAATACAGTATTATGTTGGAAAATAATCCGATACTTTTGTTCATGTCATACTGACAGATGCTACAGATTCTAAAGGAGATGCTATTGTGAGAATGTAACTTCTTTGTTTCTCACGCGTTGAGTGACGTTTTAATATCAATTCCGTAGTTTATGTAATTCGGTGATAAAGCGAAGAAGCGCGGTAAATATTTTCTTTTTCATAGGAAAACAAAACCGTTCTTCATTCTAAATTGAATCGGAATTATTTTTGACTATCAGACGATGCGATTCCGTCACACAAGTCTTTTTGATACGAATAAATGCTGTATAAGTGGGCAATTGATATAGTTCTAGTGTTTATAATAAGAGTTCGTTGATGTCAGAGCAAGCGCCTTTTACCTGTCGATGAAACTCAAGTTATTGTGACATACGTAGACAGAAGCTTGGTTTTATGATACAAAACTCTAGATGAAGTTCTCATGTTGTATGTCAAATCGACCGGCTGTTCATAATTTTATTTATCACATTAACTATTTTAATATCAGTTGAGATCTTGCATTACAACAGCCAACTGCGATTGTCTGGTGGTACTCGGTCGGTAGCAGTAAAACGTAAGCAAATGTTCTTGAATACGAAAAAGTGCTTAAAATTTCAGAACAGATTCTTACCATCGTTTATCCGAAGAATCTGGTGATTTCCAAAAGATATGTTCACCTAAATTCTTTTGTGTGATATGCACTGAAGACATTTTTTTCTGTCTAAAATAAAAAGATCCCAGTTCACTACTACACTCCGTCGTAGAGGTATATCATTTACAAAATGAATAGGAAACTTCTCTCTCACACAGTACATATCTGCAAGTAATTAGAAAACAAACTTTCTGTATGAATATTTCAACAGCAAAATATATCTTCATCTCACTGGCACTTACGATTAGTTTTTCAAGCTAATATTCTAAGGACTTGTTTATGCGATGGGTGTGGGCAGGGCATTTTTTGTCCTTTAGACAGGCGAATCTTAACAGGAAACACTGCGAACTGTTCCTCCCCGGGCTAATCATAGGTTGGTAATACTTATTTGAAAATCACCGGAGATGCAATCGTGAGAGTACGTGCAAAAAACTCATTTTATTTTTTTATCATACTTGTGAACAAATCAGAAAAGACTAATATTCCCACGTACATTATAGGAGACTAAACATGATCTGCCGAAAATTAGGTTAATACTCCGATTGATTATGAAGAATGAAATCGAGCTTGAGTGTTTTTCTACTTGGAATCTTGGAAGCATCTCTTTTGTCTTCAGGCATAAATGCATTAATCCGCTTGATAATCGGTTTATATGGCGACATCTGATACTTCCGTAGCATGTATCTATAATTTTGACGTCAGTTAATTTGAGCACTGTCGCATGTATAAAACCTCAAAGGTTCATCTGTTATTTGTAGATAATATCGCCTCTCATCAACGAGCTAACATTTTGCGTATGAGCAAATGATGAATTATTCAAATATGGAATATTACAATCATATTTCAGAAGATCTTCACTTACAGCTGTATTGTATATTTATTCGAGTAGATCCTAACTCATTCGTTCACTTCCTTTAGTATCTAATAAAAACACGAACTGCCTGAAATATATTGCGCATCGCATGTCAAAATAAATCATATCTAAGAGAACGAGAATGTGTTATTCGCTAGTTTTAGTTGTTTAGACTTTTCAGTAGAAGAAAAGGAGTGTAACCTTTCGTATGAAATTATACGTCATCAATTTACAAGGCAACATATTTTCTATAGGGAATTTTAGCGAAATTAGTTTTAGCGTGCTCGTATCCACCAGATGTTAGTTTTTGTAGTATGAAAAATAACCAATAGGAAGTCGCAGTATGTAAATCAACGAAACCATTCAGTTCATTTTAAGTTTAAGTGTTTTCAAGTGGTAGTTTTCTAGATATTATCGAGCCGTGTTGACATCGAGAAACTTATTCAGATTTTGTTAGTTTCTAGGAAGTTGATTCTTATACCTCCGTGTTATATTTCTACCGTTAACTAACTCTGAACATGTGTAGGTTAATTATCTAATGTAGCTAACAGAGACAGCGTAGGAAATGCATATATTTTTCTTGCTGATCTACGTGGAACAGAAAAACTTTCTGTTTCTTATTAAAGATCACGATATTGTCTGATGGAAGTGACTTTGAGTCTCAATAAAAGATTTTCTCTCAAGATGATGTTCAGTTATAGGATGTGAAGTCATGAAATTATCCATTATTTATATTGAATCGTTTCAGATATAAGAAATTTGAACTAATACATGTGTAGGTAATTTTCTGAACTACGCAAGACATATCGTTTGTTTGTATAGCCAGTGTCTCTCAGCTCAGATAAATAAAAAACCAAGTACTACAATGGGTTTAGAGTCTGTTTTGATCTCACGAAGATTCTTGCAGCCCATCGCGTTTTTGTATTCAAACGATCTGATATATCTATCTCTGAGATGTCGAAAAGTTCAGTTGCGATAAGTTAATAATATCTATTTGTAGATAATATTCTGTCGCCATTCTACTTTTCAAATCTACACAGATGAATTTGCTTGTCTATGAATGTCTCTATGACCTTTGCCTATAGTACGTTTCAGAAATAAATTCATTACATGAATAGCATATATTTTTCTTTAAGTTGAAGATTAATATTATAGCGCGCAAGAATGAGAACGCAGTACTCATTATTGACGTCTCTTTCGTTCTAAACGAATTCACTTGTCAGTTATGAAGATACGCAGTTTAATTCATTGTCAGTTAGTTCAATGGCGAGCCTTTGTTAAAAGTAGAATCAATGTCGATGTAAATTAAAAATTAGCATCAATTTTACGTGAGACTTGTTAATTAACTATTATCACATTTTCTCAGATATTTCTTAAATGCCCGACTTAGACAAATCTTTAGAGGAGCCTATCTGTATTCCATTGTTCAAATATGAGAGCAAAACATTTGTCTGCATAAGTATTTTAGGACATCAGAAAGCATTGGAAGAGATGTGCATCTGGCACGATTACTTGCCATTTGTAGGTATTCCGAGAAAATTGATTTACTTTTGATTGTTTCAGACCATTTCGAAAACGAGATCAATTCAATCGAGTACAAGTCCATTGGCTATCATTTCGTCAAAGTATGAATCATAGATTGACACTTTCGAGCTTTACAGTACGCTGTGCGATAAGCACGACAAAGTTTTCCCTTGTTCGATTGAGAGAAGATTATATCCAGCACTTCTGTGTCAACTGAGAATGACAAGTGGCAAAATTGAATATTAGGTTACCAGCATTTTCTTTCGAGACGGGAAATGGACTCGAACTAGTCTTTTGATATTCACTGAATATATTCCGTGAGTTCTATATTATATCAACTCTTCAAATACGTCGGCCTTCATCACAAGTTAGAAAGTCACGTCACGAGATATCTTTGACAGCAAGTAAATGCTTTTCCTTCGTATGCCATTTGTGTTAGAGAATATGATATAGAGGGACTGAAAAAACTTGCTTTCTGATATTATCCGAGTCTACAACACCAATGAAGCAGGTTGTATTTATCTGTGCTTATCAGCATGATTTCTGGGAGGAATGTTTTTGAGAGAAACGTTCATGATCAGCAGATAGCATGAACGAAACCGTCTGCAACTCAAATATGTAAAGAGAAGCATGATATGCAGACAATTGATAAGAAACTATTTGCAAATACGCATGAAACATGTCAAACTAAGAACTTTTTCATTATGCGAGTTCAGCTGAGAAATGTAGGGTAAAATATTCTCTACTGATTCGATGTTTTTTGTATTTAGATGGAAATCGGTAATTCTACAAATGATGAGCAACGCATGTCCGCCAATCAAACGTTCCTAAAGAACTTCTTTGCAGCAAAATCGACTATTCCATTACTTAGTCAAATTTTTCTCATAGCTTGCTGCTTAATCTTCATCTTTGGCGTATTAGGTAAATGAAAACAAAAGCTCCATACTCTCGTCAAAGTCATTTTTCGAAGGTAATTCCATCGTTATCTATGTCGCTATTCGAAAGAAAAACTATCGGAACGTGACGAACTGTTATGTAATTAATTTAGCAATCGCTGATCTTTTATTTTTGACACTATCAATTCCATACACAACGTACTTAGGTGTGGTAAACACCACTCCATTTGGTGATACATTTTGTAAAGTTTACACATATCTCGCTTATGTAAGTAGATAGAATGAGAGAAACATGATCGTAATCATGCGTGTTTTAGGGATTTTTACAAGCAACTTGTAACATCATCGCTGTGATGAGCATTGATCGTTATTTATACATAGTTCGAACTAAATCGAAACTTCGATGGCGTACACCACGAAATGCTTTCATCATTTGCATTACTATATGGGCCTGTAAGTCGAATGAATTCGTTTTCTTCATTTATTCATATGTTTACTTTTCTAGGCTCTCTGATCTTGATTATACCTTATCATATTATTTCGCATCTATTAGTTCCCAATCTAAAATCATGTAGTGTAAATGAACACGAGAACCTAGTTGTTTGTTTTATACCATTTTGTTCGTATTACGCCATTCCACTCCTTATCATTATCATCTGCTACACGAATTTGGCATTGCACGTGATTAAATCAAGTCGAAAGATGGCTGGCCACATGAATACTGTAAGATACTCATCATAGTAGTGCCGAGGAATGAAATCATTTTTTGTATTGTTTGTAGGTAGTTTTTCATCGAACTGTACAAGTGAAACAACGTCGAGTAACAAGAATGGTAAGATTGAATTTACAGTTGAATTCATCGTAATTACCAACGAGAGGACATAATTCCCTAGTCAGTTTCTCGCACGACAAGCGTCGCTCGTCTGGGTATTAAGAAACATGAATGATTTTTTTATAAGTCATGTCATATCAAGTCGGAAATGAGCTTCTTTATAAGGAAACATGTTTCAATAGCGTACCGTTTTTCTTTAGGTTATTGTCGTTACATTAGCATTCGCTATTTGTTGGTTACCCATTCATATACTTGAACTATTGAAATGTGCTAATCTATCTCGGCTTAATTCACTAATCAGTTCATATCCTGGAACTCTTTATGCAATTCGTGCAATCACACATGCTCTAGGCTACTTCAATTCTTGCCTAAATCCGTATCTGTATGCTTTACTGAATCGTAATTTTTGTCGTGATCTCGTCGATATAATGCCTTCATTGAAAATCTGTTGTACCAAATCATCTGCCCGCAATCGTCCACATTCAGATCGAAGTGCCCAACCGTCACCTGCAAATTTACAACGGCAACCTATTCAAATACCCAAATACGACGACAATGATGAAGAAGACGATTCTAACGATCATGACCATCAACAAATCACTATGGATGCTAGTTGTCAAGTGAAATTACTTGGTATACAAACGAAACTAACTTGAGCACGGTCTTCTTCGTTATTTTTCGCATTTCTCTGTCCATATTTCCCGGTCAATAAACATTGAGCATGACACTTCATCTCTTTCGTACATTTTATTAGATAGCAGTATCAATGAACAATATAGAATACAGTTATCACAGGTATATTTATATTGTCAGTAAGAGAATCGAGAAAAACATTGAGACACACATACACAGATAATGAGATGGACATACATATATATTGAGTCGATATCGGACGAATTAGAAAAAGGAGGAAAAAAAACATGTACCACAAGAGATAAAACAGGGAAAGCTGGTCTATCTGGAGTACGAATAAAAAAAATGTCAACTTGTGAGAGGCGAATTAAAAAAAAGAAGTAAAATGCTGATATCATTTATCTGAGAGAGATAAATTCATAATTAATCAGCAGAAGAAAAGCATTGTGCATCTTGTTTTTGATTAACTTGTGTACTCTTTGTCGTAATCAGCATGATCTAGCTCAACCCAACGATGATGCGGATTTTTCTTTGAGTAGCGAAGCGAAACCAGATGACCAACTTCATCCATAGCTTTTAAAGCCTAAAACATTAATAAACAAATCAAGATCAATATTAAAGAATTGACTATGTTGTTACATGATCAAGCATTTCTTTTGTATGACCAGCTGAAATGCAAAACCGAACGCGCGATTCTGTCAATAAAGTAGCAGGAAAGCCAACAGTAACAACAGCACAATCACGTTTTAACATTTCTCGATTGACAGCTCTATTGAAAAACGAAAATTCTCATTTTTATCAATAAGATATTTTCTTCTTACGCGATTTTCGCCGGCATAAATAACATAACAGGAACAACGGGTGAATTATTATTTCCGTAAACAATAAAACCCATATCGACAAGTTGACGACGAAAGTATCGCACGTTACAGGCTAATTGTTGAATACGTTTTTGACCTAAATAACCTTTCCGTGAGAATTTCTTTCATGACACAAGTTCAAATTTACCGTCGTTTGTACCATCACGACCCATAATGATTGACAATGCTGAAATAATTTGTTGAACAATCGGTGCTGACATACTCGATGAATAACATGCCGAATGTGAACTAACACGAATATAATCAATGATATTCTACATATAAACAACTTATTAGCTTTAAAAAAAGAATTATTTGAAAACTTTACTTTTTTTCCAGCAATATATCCGCCTGCAGATCCAAAACTTTTTGTAAATGTACCCATATGTATTTCAATGTCATTTGGATCTACTTTCCAGTAATCCACAACACCACGACCGCGTGAACCAATTGCACCGATGGAATGTGCTTCGTCGACGTATAAATACGCTTTGTATTTCTTTTTCAATTCAATAATCTCCGGCAATTTACATAATGAACCTTCCATACTAAGCAAAAATACTATCGTTAATTGATTGAAATATGAAAATGCTCGTACCTGTACACGCCTTCGACAATAATTAAAATCTTCTTCCATGGCCGGCAGGTACGTGGCTGACCCGATATAATAGCTTTACGTAAATGAGCTTCCAAGTCTTTCATGTCTAGATTTAAAACAAATATCTCAACGTAATTATGTTCTTTAATCTGAATGATTAATGCAGAAAATCGCTCGACTTTCACAGGTCAAACTTAACTTTAAGTTCAACAAGTGGAACAATCTGATGTCATATTAGAGTATTGACAAAACAATGGTGAAATATTTACCATTATGATTAAATGTTCGGATTGTTGCTCCAGATAAGCGTGCGCCAAGTATCAAGGAAACGTGATTAAGTTTATCACTGAGTATTAAATCTCCCTATAAAGCAATCCGAGAGGTGTTTTTCTTATTAACATATTAAATTAATTTACTTTTCCAGCTAATGTTGGAATATTCAATGCGTTTGTAGCGAAACCCATTCCAAAAGCAATGCAATCCTCGACATTCAAATACTCCGCCATTAAGGATTCTAATTCTTTCACATAACGTTGATGTCCTAACTCATGACGCGTACTACATGTTGTTACAGCATAGGTTTCAATTGATTTTATTGCTTGCTCGGAACATGGTCCTTGGTTCTCTGCAAAACCCAAGTAATTATATGAGCCGAGATTAATCGAGGGAATTTTCTTTCCACTGAATCTATTCAGAGGATAGGAAAAGAAATTTAATAAAATATTTTAGTTCGACATGTTTTCTTCTTTACTTGAAGGTCCAATTGTAGTCATCTGACACACGTTCCATAACGTGTACTTTAGCGCCTGCAACGCTCGCAATGGGTTGATTGAAAACATCGCGTATACGTGTGTACAAATTTCGTGTATAAAAGCATTCATAACTTTGATATAATGGAACGAAATCCTGTGCGAATAGAAAAGAATTATATTATCTACCTAATCTGTTTGCTTCGGGTGAATACGACTATACTTTAGGATTAGGATCGTGTGCAGTTCGTTTTTCTTCTAGACCAATATGCCGCAGAAAATCCCGTAACCAACCAAGTGCACTCAGGATAGCATATCCAAGCACGGTTACTACAGCAGCCCATGTTGGTGTTTCTTCGAATTCTTCGCGGTTTCGATGATCTGAAGTTCTATTATTGTCGTCTCCGGGTTTCTAAATATACGTAAGAGAAAAACTTATTTGTTCGATTCATCACTCAACGATATCGAACTTACATTCGTTTGGTAATTTGACATAACTATATCTAGATTTTGATTGACAGCCGTTTTTGGTGACATCTGAAAAAGAAAAGGACGGTAAATCGCGTACTATTCACAATAAATGAATTCTACACAAAGAAAAAATCTATTGATGACGAATTTTTGCTCTCCTACTCTCTTTTTTTACAGTCACACCTCTGCAGTCATATTTTTTTTTCATGAACTGTACCAAGAGAACGCTTGACAGGATTATAAGGAACTATTTGCATAACGACTATCGTAGTATATGGTATTCACTTTTTTTTTAAGAATCAAGACAGAACGGGAAGAGAGAAAAAAGAACTCGTCCGGACGCATGACGAATAGCAACGAGTGCCACACAAGAAGTAACGGAATCAATGTCGTCAACATAGAACGTAGCAACAATCTTTTTCTCTCTCTTACTTTCTCCACATATTTCATCAACTTTGTTTCGTCTTTCTCACGTACATATTCAATATGCTTCGGTTGGAATTCTCCGTGAGAATTTTTCTTTTGAATAATCAGTCCAAATCTGGTGTCAGATGTGGCTCACCTGTGTTAACTCAAATTTTTATACTCGTCCTGTCAACTCTTTGTCATGATGAGCAGAAGCGAATAGTGCATGAATAGGAACAAAAGTGTAGCGAAACGTGACCGCCTCGATGTATTTACATGACACATTGGGTGTTTCGTATATACATCTGTGTACACCATCTTCGGTTAGTTTCGCATACATACACTGAGAGTATAATTTCAAAAAATAGAAGAGGACAGAAATATGAAGAAGAGAAAGAAGAAAATGAAGAGAGAAGAAAAAAGAAAGAAAGAAAGAAAGAAAGAAAAAGAAATAGAAGAATATTTCTAATTTTATGATCCATCGACATCGTCATCGATATTGTCAGGCTTTGATCTATAATAGTTTATGTAGAGCTTCACGAATCCCTTACATAGATAAAAAAAACAGCATATCGGAAAAACAAAGATAAACACTCAAATATTTGGCGAACAAAGATCTTGCTACTTTTTCATACGTCTAACCATCATGAAACTATACTTTTAAAGAAAATACTTCATAGCATGTCAAAAGAATGATCATAACTGAGATGTGCCAACGTTTATGACAGCAAGAAAAAAATAAGGTCTTTCTCCTAACAATTAAGAATGAAAAGTTGTCGCAACGTTTTCCTTTTCATATGGAATAATGTATTAGAAATAAATATCAACTCACCTCATGTATCTCTTTCTTCAACAGATAGAAAATTACTTCTATATTCTTTTTTTCAAAGACGTCACCATCTTACTTTAAATAGAGTTAAGATGATGCGTACACACATTCTACTTATTCTACTCGTGAGAATATTTTTCTTTCCTCATTTAATTCATTCATTCGACGGCAAAATAATAAAAGAGAAGTCTAACTGGAGTTGATTACTTATTTATAGCATATAACTTGAAAATATATGACAAGAGCTGCAATTATTTAAGTTAACATTTACAAGAAAATACAGATAAAACTTTTCGAAAAGTTCTCTTCAACATCCAACTAACGGCAATTCTCACTGGAAAATAAAACACCGAGTTTTATGAATAATCTACTTCTATACTCATTCTCGTATATCTTATATCATACACTTCCTTCTCTACAAGTCCATTTAGCTATAAGATTTCCACTTTGTTCATGAAAGAAATGTAGTTTGATTCGATGCGTTTTTTTTCCAATGATGATTAGTTGTCAAGTGAAGATGTTCTTGCTCCTTTTTTTCAAATGACATCCGACCAATCTAAAATGCGCAACTTACCAATTTATCTAGAAACATGATATAAAAATCTTCGTATTTGAATAGTTTTCTTTTAAATTATCTTTCATTGTGAGCTACATCCAACTATGCAAAAATGAAGAAAATCTGAAAGAACTCAGCATGCATCAATGGATATTGAAGTCTATTTCAGAACGTACTTTTGTGCTGAGCGTTACATTACTCATTTTTGTGACGTTCGCTTATTCATGTATGAGTCATTATCCGAGTAATACTTATGTTTATTTTCCTTTCTTTTCGACATAAGTACAAAGCTCGTGCGTCAGCAATATGACGATCTGAGAAATTGAACATAAGAAAATTTGATTTTGAAGAACGAACTATAATGTGGGCGATATTTATCATAATATCTGAGCATGGAACGAACAACAAAGATGTTGTGCATATCAGAGTGTGATAAACAAGGACGAACTATGTAGCAGAAAGGTACATTAGACGATAGCAATAATATGTCATTTATTTTTTGGTATCCAATTGCCGACGAGTATTGATGTATCTGTTGTCTAATCAGTCTATAAATTACAACGAATGTGAACTAGCGAAGATGTGGGAAGCGGCGATTTTTCATGTTCCATACTCGTGAAACTCGAGAGAATATTAAACAAAGTGTATAGTTAACTGCTTGTATGATGAGAGTAACAAATGATTCACTGTTATTACTAAAAGTGAATTAATTGGATGAACTATTCCCTGTCTCACTGTTCTCGGACTAATCTATATTTTCCATCATAAAGTCCGTTCGAAATGGAAAGATAATACGAAAGGTAGTTTTTTCAATTAATTACAGATGACAATTGTAGGAATTGAATGGTAGCTAGTTGACGTTTCATTTAACAATGGATATTCATGGTGGATATTACACGTTGTTCATAAATTGAAAAAGATGAACTAATTACAATTCATTATTTAGATAGATTTAAAGGCGACACGACAGTTTAGTTTGAAAAATCGTCAAAATACACCGACAATTGATTTACCTTCATACTCTCAATGATACACAATCAGCCCATCAAATCAAAATAAGTATATGTACTAATACGTGAACTCCATAGTGAGAATCTTATAAACCTGATCGATCAATAGAATCTGGCTATGCAGATTCATCATTCGAACTGAATATGACTTGTTGTTATTATTCTAATTGACGAGTCAGTTCTTTTCTTTTTTTCGTTTCAATCCTTATCCGATGTCTTTGTGCTTTTTTTGACATCGCGCATAAGATCCTCCATCAATCGACTGAAATGCTCATTTTGTTTTAGTTTTCCTACTAGCGTCTCTTCCTGAAATAAGCATTCAATTTCGTAGTGAGTTCCTAAATCATTTATCCACTTTTGAAGGGTGTAGACGAAACGATTATTTTCTTCCGATTGGCTTCTTTACAGCCATTTTGGACCCAACACAAAGTTTTTAGCAAGTTCTGACAAGGACCGCTCCAATATGGCGCGAACTCCACATACATATAGTCAAATAACATCAAGATCATTTTGAAAGTGATTCTTGCGATAATTTTTACCACAACGAATCGCATATAAAAGATAATACTCATTGACTAAGTCAATTTTTTGTTTTCAAAATCCATTAACTTAATGTCACGGAGGAATCAATATTTCATTGTCATCAAATAAATATTGGTTGACCGTTTATATCCGTTTTTTTTTCTTGTAAATAGATGTCAAATTTGTAAGGACGTCATCATCGTAATTTAGTTAAGTTAATATTTACAACGAAGCATTGATGAAGCCGTGAGAAATTTCTCTTTAATCTATTTAGTCAATAGATTCTCTCGCTGGAAAACGTGACACTATGGTGATGAGTTGCTGACTAGAGTGGATAACTATCTACTCTTTCATTCGAATATATCGAACAATGCCGTTTTCACTGTTGAACATGCCAATGAATAATAATTTCTCATCGTTCTTTTTATCATAAAAACTCAGTCGTAATTTCGCAGATTTATCAGTACTTTTTAACTATATACCTTGCTAACAATGTCATTGTTAGGAATGTTAATACAATTAACACAATGACAACTGTATGTACAATATTTAATTGGCCAACAGCATGAAATCTACGCTGAAAGCACTTAAGATAATATTTATGTTTAGGAAAAATGTAATTCTATGTTGACTGCAGATGATGATCAGATGTCGACACATAACAACAGTGATATTCTTTCTAAATATTGATTGGCTTTCATTTTTCTAGCGTAGTTGTTACTAATGCGTCTGTTGTGAAGACAACGACGAATGCGAATGCGATAAGACTTCTTCTTTTTTTTTTTCTTCCTCTATTTTTTTTGTAATCAGCGATGGTTCCACTATTGAAATCTGATCGAATCATAATCATTATTCACGATTATTCATTTCTTCTAGCGAGTCTTTTCAAAACTCGTCATCGACACATCAGATATTTATTCTGTCTTTAGTCATTCTTTCGAGGTAGAGTAGATCGTAGGCAACGAACTTAACGCGACAGAAATGAAGAAAGGTTACGAATATCATCAAAAAATGTAACAAAAGGACAAATAATGATCGAGATAATTTTCATCGCTTTATTTGATCTGTTACATTACCTTTTCTTCTAGATCAAGATAGCTAATGGCAAAGACTAGTGCACATCAAAAGAATAAATCGTATTCCAATGCTGTTTATGCAACACCGGTCTCCGAACATCCATCATTAGATGAAGTTTATGAAGTAACGCCATTTTCGGAAGCGTTTTGGACTTATTTAAATTATGTTATTTTGAATATCTTTGGTTGGTTTCGGGATCTATTACGAAATGCACGAATTGAAAATCGAAAAGGTTCAGCAGAGAATAATCCACCCGTAAGTTAATCGTTGCTGTGAATTGATCGTTATTGCATCTTGTTCTTTTTAGGGTTTTGTTCCACTCTATCAAAGTTATGAGAGTTTCTATACGCGAAATGTTTATCAACGCATCGCTGATTGTTTCAACCGACCGATTGGTAGTGTTCCAGGCGCTACTCTTGATCTTCTTGAACGTGTTACCGATGATTATAACTGGTCATTTAGGTATTGTCGTATTCTTCTTTCTGATGAACATCGAATTCATTGGCTTCACTTAGATTTACCGGTGGAAAAGTAAAAACAATAAACCTCGCATCTTACAATTATCTGGGTTTCGCAAATAACAGCGGACCAATTGCCGAAAATGTTATTAATTCGATAAAAACGAGCGGTCTGACTGCCGCAAGTACAACACAAGAATTTGGTAAGTATCTCTTCATTGTTGAAACACTAAATTTGTTGTATGTAATCATACCTAAACTGATTAATATGTGGTGCTTTGAAGTCTCTTGTCTCACATCATTTCACTAACTTATCTCAGGCACATTAACACAACACCGAAAGCTTGAATCTTTACTTGCTGAATATCTTGGCACGGAAGATGCCATCGCATTCGGGATGGGATTCGCAACCAATGCACTCAATATACCAACATTGGTCGGAAAGGTATATTGCTTGTTTTGTTTTTCTAAACAATTCACCCTGCTAATAGGTCATCACATTGTAGAAAAATGATTCATTTCAGTCTCTAGCTATTAATAAAACAAAACTTTTATATTTAAAGGGTTGTCTGATTTTGAGTGATGAATTGAATCACGCGTCATTGGTTCTCGGCGCTCGACTATCAGGTGCTGTTATCAAAGTTTACAAACATAATGGTTCGTTTGTTATTTATAACTTGATTTTTATGACTTGTCGTCATGAAATTATTCTAGATATGAATCATCTGGAAAGATTGCTACGCGAATCAATCATTTCCGGTCAACCACGAACGCATCGCATGTGGAAAAAAATTCTAATTATAGTCGAAGGAGTTTACAGGTAAAACACTGAATCATCAGTTTGATCGACACTGTTGTTTGTTATAAATCTTAGTATGGAAGGTTCACTATGCAAACTACCAGAATTAATCGAACTAAAGAAGAAATACAGAGCGTATCTCTATTTGGATGAGGCACATTCCATTGGTGCTATGGGTTTACGAGGCCGCGGTGTTGTTGATTATTGGAAATGTGACGTGAACGATGTGGACATATTGATGGGAACATTCACGAAGAGTTTTGCGGCAGCAGGTGGTTATATTGCTGGGAAAAAAGTAATGAAAATCCAATGTTTTCACATGACAATCGAAGTCATTTATTCAAGGATTTGATTGACCATATTCGTGTAACATCCCATTCAGCTGCTTATGCTACATCGATGAGCCCACCAGTAGTTGAACAAATCGTTTCTGTACTTAATTTACTACTGGATAACGACGAAGAACATGAAGGTAGATTCGATACAGAAAATATCTATACATATGATTATATTGATTCATAATGAAAATCTAGGTCGTCAGCGAATTAATCAATTAGCATGGAATGCACGCTATTTTCGACAACGTCTGACAAAAATGGGTTTTATTGTTTATGGTCATCCTCATTCACCGGTTGTACCAGCACTACTATATAGTCCATCAAAGATCGCGTAAGCAGAACAAATTGTCGAATTTTTCTTCTAATACACTTCTTTGTTTACAGAGCATTCAATCGCGAAATGTTAAAACGTGGTGTAGCAGTTGTCACCGTTGGTTTTCCAGCGACACCATTAGTACTCGGTCGTGTTCGATTTTGTCTTTCAGCATCACACACGAAAGAAATGCTCGATGAAGTATATTGAATGCACTTTCTTTGCCTTTGATTTTTATCTATTCGTTATTATTAGGTGCTCAAACACGCCGAAGAAGTAGGCGATTTACTCAATATGCGTAAGTCGAAATTGAATCCGAAACGGCCATTTCATGAGACTGAATCTTAACAAAGCCAATCGAACATTTACAACGTTTCATCTAACATCCAAGCAAAACTAATGTTTCCTGTTTTACAAATCTGAAATCAATTTCAAATGAATGTGTATTTTTTTCTCTTAATCTTTGTTTTCTTTTTTGTTCTCGAGCTATTTCTCTATAAGATCGGTCTATCATATGCAGATACAGTGTATTTCAAATGCATTGAATGACATCTTCTTCATTTTCATAATTTATCGAAGAGAATTATGTTTGTTCTTTTCTTCTTTGCGCGATTTAACAATCATTACATGTTAGTGTTCGTTTTTATCACAAATTCTTTGAGAATGATTGTTGTTCTTTCGTTGCGAGTTCACTTTTCGCACAAGACAATATGAATGATTTGTGAGAATAAACCATTAATATGTTAGTTTTCGTTGTTCTGTCAAATTGAAATATCTAATATATAACACACATACGTATTCAACATAAATAAACATCATTTTCTTTCATTCTTTAGAGGAAAACTTCGATTCTAATGACTGCCGATATCGCTGGTCGTTGCGATCATGATCCTGTTTATTTTTCATTGAATGAATTTGAACAACACGAACAAGTAAAGCAGTTAATCGATCGAATAGGATCAATTAATGAAGACCCTGTGGTATCAACTGATATCATCGTAGATACAGCGGATGTCGAACGTATCTATGATCAATTTCAATATATCCTCAATCAATATCAAGAACAACCACAACTACTTGATACTTATTTATCCGATATAATTAGCAAATTACTTCATTATGTCGAACATGGTCCAAATAAAAATCACATTGCCGGTGCACTTCTTCATCATATAATAAAACTTCGTGGGTTTAAAGTGATGATCACGCGTTTTCTACCTCATGAACCTCATCATTTAATACTCGTACTTAGTTTAATCGAACGTGAATTAACAACAAATTCATCATCCGAAAATGCATGGGCAACGCTTTATTCTCTACTCGTTTGGCTTGGTACAACATGTATGGTACCGCTAGATTTATGTCGATTTGATTCCAAAGTGCGCAAACAAACAACCATGTCACAAATTTTAACTATATACAAACATTTCCTTTACAATTCTGTTTATATGCGTATGGTTGCATTCAATCTTGGTCATTTTATGTCTCGACAAGATTCGATTCGACTCTCGTGTTTAAATGACTTTTTAACCAGTGAAATCTTTCCTATACTTGAATCATATGATGAAAAGCAAAATGACGAACAACTTATTCTACGAATGACAGCATCGCTACAAACAGTGTCCTATATCTTCAAGTTTGGACAACGTTTAAATCTAATCCCTTATGTAGATACATTGTATAATTTACTGATTAATAAACGGATTCTATATGCGAAGCGGATTGTTATACGACGTATGGCTTATAAATTATTACAGAAACTGGCAATGACTTTGTTACCGATGCCGAAACACGGTGCAGCATGGAGATATCGTCGTGGTGTGCGAAATCTTCTCGATTCGTTAACATCAAAAAAGAATGCGACAACGACCAATTCAACGACTACAACAGTGACAGTGTAAGTGACATTTTTTTTTCTCGCTAGAATAGTCCCATTCATTGTGAAATTTCTTTAGTAAATCTTCGTCAACAGTCAATGGACATAAGCATGAACCGCACGAGAACGGTGAACAAGAAGGCACCGAAGATAACAGTAACGTTCCAACGTTAGTCGAATCCATACTTGAATTGCTCATGGCCGGTCTAAGTGATAAAGAATTGTATGTTCGATGGTCATCGGCGAAAGGTCTAGGTCGTATAACTAATCGTTTACGGAAATCGTATGCTGCTCAATTAGTTTCACTCTTATGTGATCGCATATCAACAGTTGCTCTTCTTGCCTGTGATCATTACGCTTTACAAGGTGGATGTTTAGCGTTAGCTGAACTTGCTCGTCGTGGTCTCCTTTTACCTGACCGTTTAGATTCCGTTATGCCTATTGTACATAAATCACTGAATTACGATGAAAAACTTGGTCATCAAACATATGGACACATCGTGCGTGATGCTGCCTGTTATGTAAGTGTTCTTGTTTTACTTGGAATACGTTCATCTTAATATGTTTTCTCTTCAAGATTTGCTGGTCGTTCGCTCGTGCTTTTGATCCAATTGATTTTCGCACATATACGGCTGACTTAGCTGGTATGTTACTCTGCATAATTTGTTTCGATTGGAATGTTCAATGTCGTCGTGCAGCCTCAGCTGCTCTACAAGAGAATGTTGGTCGACAAGGAAAATACTTCCCCCATGGAATCGATATTATCCAACAAACAGATTATAATTTGATTGGTAAATTTGATTATTGTTTTCTAATCTTAGCGCATTCGTTAATCAAATACTATGATATATACGGACGATATATGATCGATCATTTGCTGAAATATAAAATTATACATTGGAAAAAAGAAACACGTTTACTAACAAGTCAATTACTAGAAAAAACGACAATAGATTATGGAACAGTCGAAGAAATCTACGAACATACTCTACTGCCATTGTTTGATCGGTGTTTAGATAAGAAAAGTGATGGAATTGCAAGACATGGTCTTCTTGCTAGTTGCGGACATATTGTATACGGGTTGTATCAACGCTATCAAAGAGTATGTTACGAAAATTGTCTTTATTTCTCTATTTTTTTTTGCTTTAGAATCCCAATGAATGCTCCCGTATTGACGAATTTCGCCAGAACTTACAGAAGAAAATAGCCAATCTGTTGATTGAATACAAATCACTAGGATTGCTCGATGGATATTCTGGCGATCTCATCCGACCAGCACTTTGCTTATTTATCGAAAAGATTTCACAATCTATGGAATACTTTACATCAGAGAAAAGCGAGAACTATTTTCCCGATGAAACCATTCAATGCTGGCAAACTATTCTCGATGAATGTATTAGTAATCTAGATGATGATGTCAGACAAGCAGGATTGAACGCACTAAAAGCTTTTTCAACTGCATTCTACTCGAAATCGAAGTAATTGAATCTTTGTTTTGAGTGGCGAATCTATTTCTTACCTTTTCCTAGTTCATCCGATATTCTTGATCGTTACATAGGAAAGATCTCGACTACATCTCAAGAGCACATTCGGCAAGGTTTTGCACTTGCTCTGGCATCATTTCCTGCTGAAATGATACTCACAAGTAATAGTGTCACAAAAGTTCTCGATTGTTTATATAATCTGATCGCAATTTCGAAACCAACTCAACATTTAATCAAACAACGCAAAGATACGCTGATCGCTTTTTGTAATCTTTATGAAAATCTTCATTTACATTCCTTATCACCGTTTTCGACTCAAGAATCGATCACGAAATTAATCAACTCATACCTTCGTTGTACCCGTGATTATACAAACGATCGTTATGGAGATTCCGGTCGTCTTGTACGTGAAACAGCTTGTACACAATTAGTTCGTTTACTTCGACTAATCAACGAGCGTGATAAACAATTCTTGACATCCGCGATTCTTCACAATTGTCTTAATGCTATTCTAGCAAATGTTTGCTCAAAAATCGATGACCTTAGGATGATTAGCGGCAAGGCATTGATTGAATTCTTGACTATTCCATTTGATCAATTGATCGATTCAAAGATTGATTTCGAAAGAATCTTCTGCCAATCAAATGACATTGATTGGCGCAATTCGGAAATTGTTTTCCCCTTGCTTGTTCAATTATTACTCTTCGATCGTTATCGTTACACAGTTTGGTTAAATTGTTTAATCACCGCTGGTGAATTATCCGAGGCCAGTCAAGCTCTATATGACTTTCTATTGCGGCATAAAACCAACCATCATCTAATCGATTTACTCTTTCAAGATTTAGAAAAAATTCTGACGAACAAACAAAATCTCCAAGTCAGAGTTCTTATCCCATCGGTACAAGCGTGTGAACGACTTTTATCGCAACCAACATTCAAATATTTCTATGAAAACTACCCCAATGAATTTATTCAGTATTGGATCAAGTTCGTCGAACTGTTCGAAGATATTTTAACGAAGAAAATCCAATCATTAAATAGCAATCCAACATTATATTTGCATTTTATCAAATTATATTGTTCGTTGTTACAATTTAACGATCAGCGATTGAGAAATCTGATATTGAATTGTTTGACAAAGTTCTTCTTACATAATTACCCATGGATTAGACGACAAGCAGCACAAAACTTGCATGACACATGCATTATGTTCAATGATGAATTATTTTTCGATGATAATGACGGCAATTATGAACAGGTGATGAATTTACTAAACGAAACCGATTGGGAACAAAATTTAGATGATTTAACAAAGATCCGGCAGACTTTATTACATTTATTCCATGTAGAATGAAAAATGAAACAGTTTTATTTCATAACTCAGATCTGATGTGTGTATGCGCACGATTTTTTTCTCTTTTCTTCTGCACAAACGTGTCAATGGATTTCCAGTTACCGATTGATGTGATGATCAAAGATCCTTTCCTTTGCTAAGCAGACATTTTACCTGTAAAACAATGTTTTTTATTAATAAAATAAACAAGTGACTGAATTCCATCGGCCCGGATACATCCACACACATACACAGCAAATATCACCAATTCAAACAGGATTAACTCTTATTCAGTTCCTTTTATTTACTTAAAAACTTTTCGACAGAAGAAAAATTATGGATTAAAATACCCTTACACTTACATTTCTAATAACTCATAGGAAAAAAGTGTGTGTCTAATGTTTCAAAGAAACTAATTTATTTCTTCTTCTCATCATCGCCATCTTGGTCATTGGAATCTTGTTCATCTTCTTCGTACATTTGACGAAGAGCTCGAAGAAGTTGCCGTTTGAATTTCTCCTTTTCACATCGTGTTTGAATGTCAGTTTTCAATGTTTGGTATCCATATGTATTGGAAGCATAGGTACCATCACTAATCACATCGGGATAGTATCGTGACCATGTTAAACCACGATTAACGACACCTTGCAATAAACATTTCACTTCCGCCATGTCCGTTGGAGCTAAATGGAAGAAAAATGCGAGTATTGAGAAGGTTTTTCAACGAGGAATTACTTTTCGAAAGACAGATTTTATTGCACAAAAGTGCATTATTTTCATTTCGAACTTCGAATTGAAAGCCATGACCGATAACTAGATCTGCATCGGATACCAATACTTGTTGTGAAGGGTTTGGTAATTGGTAGTAGGATCCTTTGACATAGATGCGAACTTTACAATCTTTTGCAACATCTTCTAATGATTTCACACGCTCATAGAAGTCTTCGTGCACTAAGAGTTTATCTCCGACTATGTATTTGCTTGATTTGTATTGTTTTATCGGACATTTCGGTTTAGCTGAAAAAAACAAAACAAATTTGCACACAAATGAACAAAATGTGATGTCGCTGATCGAAACTTACAGCTGAAAAACAGTCCTTCAGTTAATGCAATCACAAGAATCAAGCAGACCAATGTATAACTTTGCATATTCGTTTTGATATATTTACGAGAAAGTGATTTAGCTGTCGTATATGCTCTGTCTTATATACGATCGTTTCTTTTTTTTATCAAAAAGTATATTTAACAAATTATGAATATGTTTTATATTACTTTCTTTATCTCGAGTCTTTTACTCTTAGAAACAAGTGTTTTTTCTCGATATTAGTATGTATTCTTCAAATATATTATTCATCTAGAAGAAAAAAAGTAATTGAGAAAAGAAAACAAAACGATATTTTGATCGGTTATCGAACTATGTATGTTCTCTTTCAATACGCTTATGCCTTGATGAATACGATATGTATAATCATATTAATGTATATATTCTATTCAAAGATCTTGCAGGCGTATTATTCATCACTAACATCGATAATTATGTAAGCAGAAGAGAAAGGGTAGAAAACCAGGTATCAATCAAACACTGTACTTGAGCGAGCTCAGGTATTTGCATATTGCCATGTGAAAGTACCGAAATGAATTCGAATTTGGATTACTCGATGTTTCGTTGGAATGTGTATTTGAACTACATGTTTGTCGATATTTACAGTTAAACATGTAGAATCGCAGTATTTGTTTTCCCTTCTTTTTTATGCGTCGATTGATCATTTACAAAACTGCTCTCGTCATGACGATGGATATAACTCTTGACAACAAGTGAGATAGCTAAGGGTGCAGATGGATGAGAGAAAAAGAGAGATTGAACGAAAAACTCTTCTAGAATCGAGTCTATTTTTATTCAAAGATCGATGACACTTCTAGAAGATCTGCGCAATGTTGAAAATAAGCTCCAGTGAGCCTTTCACAATTACAATTAAATGAAAATCTGAAAGCACTCAGCTAAACATGCGATTGATTTATTATTATTCATCTAATCAATGTATATTTCTACAAATAGTCAACAAATAGATTTTCGGCCCTCTGATCGTAGTATTTACTATTCATATTTAACTCTCAATGTTATAATTTAAATTGAACTTCTACATCTCGCTTCAAACATATGCGAACTTGTTCGTGTGATGTGTTCACAATAATTTCTTTTCTCTACAATACAATTCTAAATAGACACACAAGATGAGTATCGGTCGATTTGTCCATATTATTGCCGTTCTTTACCTGGACATTATTTATGCGTAGAAAATTGGAACAACAACTAACCAGGTGCTTATCTGTGACCTGCAAGATGAGAAATTTTCAATAATAATCAAAACATTCAATTCAACCTCGTCCTGTAATTCCTGTATTTCCACTGCGTTGACATGTTCAAAGAGCTGCACGGCTGTCAATTGAAGCTGTTTCATTTAAGTACAGAGTACTGTATATTTTTGGTCGGATAGATCGATACCTTCAATAGCCACAACCGCAACTACCAACAGTGGAATTAGGAGTAGTGCTAATGTTGCAGCAACTGTACCCTCCGAGACATCATTCAGTAGTATGAAAACAGATAATGACAGCAAGAATTTTGTGTTAATGTTCGCGCCATCTATTTATCCTGAAGTGTAAAAGTCTTCTTTTATTGATAGAGTTCAGTCCGTTAATCGAGCACGAGGTTAAAATAGAGATCTTCTTTTCACTTTCACTCGTTACAAAAGAAGATAGATTCGGAACAGATTACATATATCAAGTCAAATAGAATCAACATTTTGGTTCTAGATGTTTAAATACGTGAACTTTATTAGTTGATATTATATTAAAAGAGAAGAAAAATCAATAGAACTAAATCAGTTGTTCGATTATAGATGATCATAACTGAAGTAGAAAAGAACATACATTGATGCGTATAGACAAGACATTCTCAACTGTCATATATCGAAATGATATACCGGAAATTCTTCGAACAGCAGAAAAAAAACAATCATAACAAAAACAAGATTAAGGGCAGAAATCCACACTTAAAATGAAATAATAAGAATAGAAAGTGTATGATAAATATATGCAACAACTTATAAGACAGTTCTCTTTCGCCGACGTTGATTAACATCATCAATTTCATCATCGTTTTCGATTTCCTCACCATTGTCTAAACGTTGTTCATTTCGATTCACTCGATCTTGATCACGATTAGCTATTCGGTAATTATTGTTATTCTCTTGGACATTATTAATGCCTAATTGCTTCTTCTCGTTATTCTCTTGATCAGCTGCTAATTTACTATATCGATTGCTGGCAACTCCATTATCAAACGTGCGTTGAAACTGAAAGCGAAGAAAATGAGAATTTTCTAACAAAGCCATTCAAATTCTGTCTTACACGTTGATCTTTTCGTAAATTATCCACACCAAGTTGATCTACAAATGAATCAATTCACTTCGTGTTCATAATCTGATCAATAGACTTACTTTCTTGATTAGGATTATCCACTTGAGCTGCAGCCGGTGGTGGAGGGACATTCTGACCAACTTGTTGCTGATCATTTGCTACGTCAGTTGTCGATGAATTTGTATTGATACCCAATGCATTCAGAGCTCTATCTTTCATATCGATCACAGCAGGAACAATATCTGCTTTGACTTCTTTCGTTAGATTATTCAGTTTATTTAACGGATCTTGAAATAAGGCGGATAAACTGCGAGTTGTTTGATTATTTAATACTATAGGCTCATAACGTTTAGGTGGTATCGGAAATGTATTTGATTGTTCACTAATATTAGCAGATACTTGATTATTTTGTGAACTAACAAAAACAGTCTTGTGTTATTTCGAATAAAAGCATGAAAATATTCACTTACGGTCGATTACTCTTCAATGTTTCGTATTCTTGTTTCAATCGAGTGAGTTCATCATTTCCGGATTCTAAAGATGAAATTGAAACGAAGAGAATAGACGGAAAGAAAGTAACAAACGTTTTAGATTTTGCAGTTGTTGTTGTAATTGTTCGATTAGACTGCTCTTTTCTGTCAACGCATCTCTTATTGTTTTAAGTTCTTTCTAATTGATCAAAAACAAAACATTTGTACATCATTTCTCAATGTCATTTCTGTTTACCAATTGTTCATCAGCAACAGTTTTATCGGATTTCAAACTTTCAATTTCGGCGTTTTTTTCATTTAATTTCGTATTCAAATCATTGATTTCCGAGTCTTTCTTCTCCATTTGCTTTTGTAAATTCAATTTCTCTTCTTCAAGTTCACGTTTACGCGAATTCATATCGTCGACCTTCTTCTCTGCATCACTATTCTTTTTTGTCAACTAAATAAAAAAACTCAGCGTAGATTTTCATCGAATAAATCGACGTATTGGCACATACCGATCGAATACGATCTTCGAATTGCTCGACTGAAAGACGGAGTTCAGTATTTTTTGACGAACACGACATGTAAAATAGGCCCAAAAGGAACATAATGATCACAAGACCAACAACGATGAAACTAGGCGTTCGACCTGACATATTTGTCTATTAGAGAACAAATTTAATCTAGAATAACAACAAAGTTGAAAGAAGATTTGGTAAGTATGAAAATCTGAAAGGAAATATAATATTAAAACGAAAGAAAGAAAAAATAAATGCTTGGTTTTCTTTTCTCCTTCCGTTCTTCTCCATCTGTTCCTCTCTTGAATAAATAACAATAACTGTGACGCTCTTACGCATTTATCGTTCGATCACCGAAGCTTTTTCTGGGTTTCCTTCAGTGAGAACAACGTATTTATAACTGATTTGATAGTGAAAGACAGAAAAAAAAGTCATACTCATGCTTTTCTATCTGAACTCATTGATTCGAGTAATGTTTTTAATTGTTTTCGTCGTTGACTGATCGATTCCGACGTGATACATCGACTGATTTCGTTCATAAACTTCTCGAAAACTTCCTTAGTCGGACTTTTCGAGAGATCATTTTCGTAACTAAATCGACAGAACTCTTCGACTATTACAATCACATACAACCCGCAATCAAAGCCATTTTCTTGTTGTGGACAACGACCGTTGACTAACAGTACTTGCGTGTGAAAGAATACACAAAGTTTACTTTGAATATCTTTTGCAGTACGATCATTTGCAGATGACATTGAGTCAAAATGATAAAGAACTTTATCTAAAACCGTAGTACATGAAGAAAATTCGACTTTTTTTCGCCTAGTGTTCGTACCTTGTATCGCTAGAATTAATAATGACCAATGCGATCCGGCGAATGCATTCACATGTCGATTATCGTTGATTGGCAAAATCAGAAATTTCTTTTCAAGAAAGTCGATGGATTGAAGAAGTTGGTCAGCGAATGAGTCATCGCTCATTTTCAATAATTGCACGACGGATGGTGAGACAAAAACGCATGAGTTCGACTGATCTTGGGCGAATTTCGAATCATGTTGAAGATATTCGAATGCAAATGTGATGATACTATCATCCAGCCAGTTTGAATCATCAAGCGTCTTTAAGTTTGATACGCGTACGATCGCATCATGATAACTGACAAGTATTGGATCAGATTCTAACGATGCTGACATTCGTATTACTGATGGATGGAATAGAACAACACGAACAAGAATATGAAGTTAATATTGACAAATACTATCCTGCCAATAGATGCCGTGCGAAGTCGACTGGAGATGCGAAAATACAGAAAAGAAAAGAATTCTTTTCCTTTCGTCAGCTTTGTGTATGACGAACAAGTATATTTAGAATAGACCGTTAGTGAATTCGAGTATTTAAATAGTTTTCTAATATACATACGAAAACATTTATCACTTAGAAGTAAGACAAATCCTGTTGTGTTGTTAAAAAACATTTTCTTTTGGATTCTTCTAGTGTCGATGTCTTATAGTCAACCGAATCTTATAATCCCCGAACTGGATAACGATCCAGCCATTTTAAAAGTACGTTCATATTTATTGTTTGGAAACGAATCAGCAATATCTCATAGGTCATCCATGATGGTGAAAAATTAGAACGAGAAACTTATCGTAAGGAATTAATGGAAATTTTAAAAATTCGTCCAACTACTCTACCTAATTCGGATCAATCGATTCCTCAAAATATAAATCATGAAAATCTACAAGCAACACCAGGCAGTTGCAATGTAACGGATGTTGATCGAACAAGTCAAATATGGATTAAACGTACAGTACCCATCACACCAACATCGAACTCCTACCGTCGACAACATTATCGTTCAGCTCTTCATCAACGTTCACTGAACAGCAGTGGTGACAGTCTCACCAATCGAAGTTTTACCGATAGTCCCAAAAGCACCAATAATAGCTTCATGAAATCAACACGGTCAGAAACAAACTTATCTTTATCACCTATATCCATGAACAAAACAAGTCCAATACAACCAAATAATAATCTTTCCTTGACACCATCTGGAGTTCTTGTTACTGATTATCGTCAATCCATGGTGATGAAACGTATTGTCAATCCGTAAGTCTCCTAGTGCCAACATTTCGCGTATGATTTATCTTGAATTTTTTTCTATAGGCAATGGAACATTATTCCTTTTGCATAGAAGCAATGGTTCATTCGTCTGTTTGTCTTTTAACATTACTTTGTTCATGTTTTACTATAGATGTTCTTTGTTGTATACACGTAAAAGATTCTTATGATATACATCCGCTATGACAAAACGAATAAAAACAAGAATTTTTTATTGAAAGGAAAAAACCTAGGATTGTTCAATTATTAAAAAAAGGGACGAGAAATCAAAATGTTCATTTTTCACTAGCGGTAGTTGCAGTAGTTGCACTAGCTTCACGATTTTCTTCTTCTTCTTCACCACTGACTTCCATTATACTACTATACGGGCTATCTAAAAGACGAAAGAACACGATTTGAGAGATAGAAACTCCTTTGCAAACTAATCGCTCACTGAAATCGACAGGCAAATGAACGGTAAATCGTGTCGGATGTTTGTCAATTGAAGGTACAGTATTATTTGGCTCATTGTCGTTAGTCACTTCAGCAGGATCACCGATGACAGTATATGTTTGATTCTTTTCTTCTTTCTTCAATTGTATTCCAATGTCATAGACTTCGGCAATACAATCGACCTATAAAAGAAAAATCGAGTCGATTTGATAATCTTCGCCTATGTACGATTACATACTTCTTCTTGCGTGCCCACAAATGGATTACGCATATATTGTATTACGGGGTCTTCGAGCAGCTGAACAAGACGATCTCGTACAGTTTCATAATGTCGATATGCATTTTCATCAAATGCACGTGCCTCACCATCAATACTTGTATCACGCGGTAGACCGGTTGTTAAACATCTGAAGCGAAATCAAAGGGAACAATCTGTGCATGACAAAAGTTTACTGTAAACATACGTCACACATTGAAGTGAAAATTGTGTTAAAGAAGATAATTCAAATATTCTCGGTTGATCAACATCACCAATTGAAACGGCAATGATTGATTTGGCAATGGAATACTTTTCTAAACGTATTTGTTTTGGAAAATTTTCAATTGGAATTGTATCTGCTAAAGTGACAATTTCAATGTCTAATGGTAATTCATATCGAATAATGATTTCCGGTAGTGTAAATAAATTCTCCGATGTATTCTTGTGGTAAGACTTGTCAAATTCATCATCAAGAATTTTTGTTGCGAAATGAAACGATTCATTAGTTACAGTTGGATCGAGAAGAAATTCTTGATCATTTTTATCACCTAAGACAAACATCTCTTGCCCATCTGTGATCGTTGTTGATTTTTCAATTCGTTTCAATGTTACTTCCGTATTTTCTTTTAACAAAACAGGAATCTTTTCATTTGTTGGTAATAATAACAAAGCGGCTGTATCACGAAGTAACCGAATATGTTCACGAGGCATTTCGAAACGTAATAATTCCATGGCATTCGTAAATTGCCACCAACGTGATTTGTATATTGGATTAGTCGATAATACTCGACATTGTCCTTGAAACCAATCGGGGAGTATAAATGTCCGTTCGTCAGATATCAGAGATTTCGATAAAATTAAATGACGATCATACATGGATTGCAAATAAAAGATATCATTTTTTGTCAGATTCGTGTCCCATGGTTGACTGACACGTATAATTTGAGGAAGTTGAAAGTATTCAATAAAATCATGGAAAATATACTCGCCAACTTCCCAATCGAATTGTTGAATATCCTTGGAAACAGCTTCCAGAGACTCCTTTTGTACAGGCGTTAATTCTAGTGGATATGACGTCATGATAAGAAAAAAAAAGAGAAAGTTCTTTTTTCTTTTATTACTCGGAATGAAAACAAGAAAATGAGTAAAACCTCTCAACTTTTGTATTCTTCACTTTGCGGTCGACTGCTTATGTGTGCATATGTGTAGTTAGGGAGCAAGCAGAGAGAGAGAGAGAGATAGTAAAAAGAACGAGTAGTATAACATTATTATACGTTTATTAGCAACGGTATATACGCACGCTTACCCGCCGATTTGATCGTCACATAAAAAAATATACACGTTAAACCATCAGCTCTCAATGTCAATTACATGCTCACCATGCGTGAATCTCCAAATACGACCAGATGTTCATCTTTTCTTCTCGTTTTTTTCTTTCTGTCGACTTCGAACTATATACATATCGATGTGTCTGTGTGCATGGTCGGACAGGTAACCGATTCTCTCTTTTTTTTATTTTTCATTTGACCAAAAAAAGGTTTTTCTGTCTCTCTTAAAGACAACATACCACACACGCACTTACAAACATAAAACATCATCAGACAACAGCAAAAAAAGAGCGAGAAAGAGAGAAAAAAACGAAGAAACACACCAATCACAATGAACGTTTGTCGGGCGTTTCAGAAGAGAAAAGAGACAAAAGTAAATAACTCAATAGCAGCAACAGAAGTGAAGTAAATCTGTACACAGATATATATGGAAGAACTCTGATAGTGTTATTTGTGTTTTTTTTTCTCAATACGTACATACGCGTATACGAATGACCACATACAACGGCAAAAAATAATCACAAGAAGGGAAGGAAAAACGTACATACACTCACACAAACAAAGGAGAGGAAGAAAACATTAATTGATATATATATATATATATTGATCTATATGTATACATATATATATATATCTGTATATAAATAGTAAACATCGAGAATAGTAATACCAACAACAACAACAACAATGAAGAATACAGAACGACTAGAAAAGAAAAGCGAAAATGTTCATGTGACTAAAAACACGAAATCCATTTTTTCCTCTGTTGTATATTTTGTTTGAGGAATGAGATAGATTGATGGATATATATATGTGTGTATTGAAAAAGGTTCTATCTGGCTACACATAAACTCGATATTTGCATGGAATATGGCACAATGGAGTGTTGTCATACAATGAAATTACTCGTCTATTGTCGCATTTGTTGTTTCATTCTGATGATTAGAATCATCTGTGTGACTTGCTTCTATTTCTTCTTCCTCTTCATTATCGTTTTGAGATTGTATTTCTTGATGATGTTGTTGTTGCTGTTTGTCTTCGAGATCTTCATCTTCGATGAGTTCGTCATCTTCCATCATCATATTCGGATTGTCATTCAACTGACCAGCATTAGCAGCTGCAGCTGCAGCAGCCGCTGCTGCCTCGGTTTGATACGGACGACAATATTTATATCGATGATTCATATGTTGGCTGAATGAACCTGAGAAAGCAAACGAGAAACAATTCTATTATCCAAGACATCATTGATTTCTTTTCCATTTCACTTACCAGAATGACTAAAACGTTTAAAACATTTTGTGCATTGAAACGGTTTTTCACCTGTATGTAAACGACGGTGTTCAGCAAGATGATGTTTATGCTTAAATGCTTTTGTACAAACATCACATACAAACGGGCGAACTCCTAAATACAACACGCGCTTTTTGAATAATCAAATAAAATCGAATGTTTCTTTACCAGAATGTTCATATTTATGTCGAGCTAATGAACTTTGTTTACTAAAGCGTTTATCGCACATGTCACACGCATACATTTCACCTTGAATATGATTTTTCCATGATTTTCTTTTACGTGTCAAATCACTATCCATCAATTGCCCGCACAGCGATGAGGATTCATCGTTCGAGAGAAGACTGGTTTCAGATGAACAATTATCAGCTGTACTATCTGGACTGAAGGTTTCGTTCTAAACAAAGTAAAACATCAAAGTAAGAAGAAAATCTTAACTATTCTGAACCTACTTTGATCCATTCATTCTTATTCTCATACCAATTTGTATCATTATTAAATGCAACTGTTGCGGTCATGTGTAAATGAGCAGCAAGTTGTTGTTCACCGGATTTAAGATGAGATTTTTTTACTGTTAAATCTAATGGTTCAGTTTGTTCTTTTGACGATGTTGGATTCATTGATGGAAATGAAAGTGGCGGTGGTGGTGGTGGTGCGGGTATTGAAGAATTATTTGTCGCAGCAGCCATTAGTGAAGCACGTAAATGATAATAAGCAAGAGGTAAAAATGGTTGCGTTGCTGCATTATTGTGATTATTAGTATTGTTATTATTATTTTGATTAGTACTAGTTGTTGGTGATGGAATGAATGTGTTACCAGATGATTTGATATTATTAGCAGCAGCATAACTTGTGCGCAAAACATGAAACCAATGCTGAACATGTTGTTCGCTAAGACCAACACGTTTGGATATTTCATGCAGTTCATTGGAATTTGGATATGGATTTAAAGCATAATGGGCACGTAACATATTTAGTTGTTGTTTGTCAAGCAAATCAGTTGTAGCCGATGACGATAATAATGATGATGTGTCTTGATCGTTTGTTAACAGATTTCGTCGTTTACGTTTTCGTACAGGTGAAGTTATTGTTGGAATTTCTCCAGCTTCGATCTCATGGTTAGCATTGTTGTTTCTATCCGATGAAGAAGATGATGGTGGAGTTGTTAATGGTATGGATGGCCAGGCTGAGGGTGATGGACTACGTGAATGAGATTTGGGTGTCGAGGAATAAGAATCTTTACGTTGCTGCGATTGCTGTTGTTGAGCAGCTGCAGCAGCTAGAGCTGCTAACGCAAATGGACCAAAGTTTAACATTGAACGCGTAGCAAGTAAAGCGGCTACAGAGGAATTTGTTGTTGGTGGTACTTGTGTTGGTGCTGAATGTAAACTATTGTTCAATGTTGATTGTGGATATGCATAACATTTCTTCGATGTCATGTGTGATGAATAAGAACCCGAATGTGAGAAGCGTTTACCACAATTAGCACAAACAAATGGTTTTTCACCAGTATGGATACGAACATGTTCCTAAATATCAGTGCAGAGTATTGGTGAGAGATCCAAAATGTATTATGAAGAAAAGTTTACTTTTAAATGATGTTTGAATTTAAATGCTTTTGAACAGTGAGAACATTTGAATTTTCGTGTTTGAGGATCAACTTCATGACTCAGCATGTGGCGTTGAAGACGATAAATATTAGCAAATATTTTATTACATAAATGACATGCAACTTGGCTGGCGTTATGATTTAGTTCGTGTTGATGTAAATCATCCTGAAAAGCAAATAGATGACAGAATGCTTGACCTGAAATTAGTTGTTCTAGAACATACTTTGTTAGTAAAAACGGCATTGCAATGAAGACAATTACTAAGATTTTCCGTTTGATCTGGATGACATTGAGTTGTGTGTAAATGTAAATGTGCTATTTGAAGAAATTCATCTGTACAGTAAGGACATTTAAACGATTGTTGTTGATTGGACGAATTAGTTTCTAAGATGAGGAAAAAAATCAAAATATAAACGTGTGCTGTCTTTTTGATGTTGTAAGTTTCAATAGTTAAACTTATCATCCATCTGTCTATGATTTTTCTTCATCTGATCAAGAAATTCCACTACATGCGCTGGTCACAGTGGGTGGGATGAGTACACTTTCTCGTGGCACATGCTCTCATTTGATGATCGATGATCTAGNAGATTTTGTAACGGCTTATCAATTGTACTTTAATCCTGAATTAATTTTTAAAAAGTTTCAAGTAAAGAACAAAGTTTGTTGTATAGAAAATAGCAACCCAGTTGGGCATTTTCTTTGAATAGTTATGGGGATTAATAACTTGCTGTTGTTTTATGCCTTGAAAGAAAATCGAAAATCGGTCACCGAGATAAATCGATCAGTAATTCATTTCCGTTTCCAAGCGGCATCCATTCTTTGTCTCGATTCGAAAATAAACTGCTGCGCTGTCTATTATTCTATACCTTATTTTCTTGATAAAAATTGCGCGTACTTGAACTCTTCCTGTTTCCTAAACACGAAGAGACGCATCATTTACAGGATTAGAAGATTGAAGATATGTTGTTCACGTGTCAACATAATTGACACATCCGGAAGAGAAAACAGCAGTCACATATTGATGTGAAAACACCGAATTTTAATAAAAGAAAGAGTAAAACCAAATGGAAGCAAATGATATTGATTGATCATTTCAAATATTTATATCACTGTCAAACAGAAATCTCCTTCTGCTCATTGTTGACAAAGTGTGTGTGTCTGTAGTGAATCTCATGCTCCCAATTAGAATACAAGAGCAATTAAAATTAGAATCTCCAGACGCGTGTGCTCATCCCGTGATGGGATAATGGCCTGATTGAGGTGTCGTTCTTTATATATCTATCTATCTACGTGTGTCTCTTGATAATTGTGCTTAACAGCAAACTCATTTCTATCTGTGTCTTTCTCTGATAAGAGTTGACTTATCAACACACGCTCAGTGCCTATCAAATTGTCACCGTACATTCAATTCTATCTTATTGGAAAAACTTAATTATTTACGAACGAACGACGAGAGAAGGAGGTGCAAGAACATGCAAACTTATCGAAGAAAATTGAAATTGAATGTAGAAGATACTAATTGTAACAATAGCCACATGTTCGCTTGAAAATTTGCAATTAACATTTTCGATTCTCTTCCTTCTCTCCGAGATTAGACACATGCGCTATATCAGATATATATGTATATGTATATGTATATATTTTCTTCGTCTTGACAAAAGATATACAAGACATCTTGTAATAAATAAAACAGAGCAAGAAAAAAAAGACACATTTCAACACGAAATTTGATCACTGCCAATGAAAACCACCAGCACCAAATGGTACATTGTTTCCTTCATTAGGACGCGCTTCATTTTCATCCGCACGACGAGATGTTTCATGAAATAACCACTGTCTGCAAGAGAAACACTGAGCATTAACCGTTCAAATCGATTCACTTACAAGAAACGAGGTGTTTTTAAGACGCGAAAGCCTCCCTGTTGACGCGGAAATATATCCTCGAGAAAATAATATACATGACCAACAATAATACCCATAATATCCACAATAACTGAATTTCCAAGTAAAAGTGAGAAGGCGAAGAGCACCCATGGTAAATACGGAGCTTGAAAATTGAGTAAACCAAAGAAATTCATTCTAAATAAAGCGAATTCTTGTCGATAACAATCAAACAGAAGTTGCCTGCTTTTTTTTCTACGAACCTAACGAACGGATTTCGCCGACTCCAAACATAAACTAACATGATTGTTAATGCTGAGCCAAGAAAGACAATGTTGATAAATAAGGCCATGATTATCATCAAGACGCCACCGAATAAGAACATATACAAGAAATCTGCTGCACGTCCGCGGAACGAACCTTCTTCGAGATGACGGCAATATCGATAAGTGAATAGCAAATTAAAGAAAAAATTGAAGCCCATTCCACCATAAAAGCAAAAGCAAGTTATTAATCTCCATAACTATTCAAAGAAAATGATCAACTATGTTGCTATCTTCTTTACAACAAAATTTGCTCTTTACTTGAAACTTTTTAAAAATTAATTCAGGATTAAAGTACAATTGATAAGCCGTTACAAAATCTAATTGCTAAAAATAACAAAAAAGAACAATAATGATCGCAGTCAGTGTATTCTTCGATAGATGAAAGACATTCTTTATTTCAGTTTTGTTGTTGTTGCTTTTTTTTGTTAGCAACTTTGATTTATTATGAAGAGAGAAATGGACAAGCGTGTTCTTTATTTTCGAAAGAGGCGGATTGATTACACACCTGATATCGTATTTATGCTTGATTAGATCGCTTTCGATTTCTCTCATCTGCATAACGATGCTATTACTTTATATTTCCTGCTGCCGACGTCAATGATGCCACGCTTCAACACCCGACCGAGATATGAAATGTGTGCACAGTGCACATCGGCATCTGCTCATTCGGATCATCAATATCGCACGTTCAATAATGTTTGTTCAAGGAATTTCCGTTTAGAAAATAAATAGTCGAGCTTATATTTTATTGTCCTTTCTAATTAGGAGCATATATTGGAATCATTCAACTTCACTCCTGATAGGTTTCCGTTAACACAAAAAGTAAACGGTGAACCGAATGGAAAAACAGGGATGAGTACGAATAGAAAAGGATGTGCTTCGGTACTACTTATTGACGATTGTTCAAGTGGCCTTTCTCTCTATTTACCTCTTCACATAAGTGACAATGGCTCTAGGCAACCTTACGTTACAAGTAACCAGCCATCTGTCATCTTAAACTAAAAGAGTAAGAGGCAGAGAAACAGACAGAAAATTGGCAAGACAAAAAAGAAACTAGCTAAAGGGATTATTGAGTCTGTAAATTGAATCGAAGAATCACTTTAATAAAAAACATCATTTATAAGAGTGATCAGTTGAGCTAACGGTGCTCTGAAATCAATTCATTTCAAGTGACAGTTGTTCTAATTGCGAAAATATCACACATCGCATTCTTTTTTATCATGCTCCGACACCTGACGAATTACGACATCGATCAATTACTTCTTCCTTTTCTTCTCCTCTTTCTCTCTTGCTTATATCCGATTATCCATGAACAATTGAGCTTTGTAATTGAGATAGAAATAGAAACTGACGAGCAGGTTGTGCGATTAAACAAGGCGGAATAATGATATGAGATTTTTTTCTCATATTCGAAAATGAAAGAAAGTAACAAAATCTTCTACTTACAACTGCGATAGTCGTTAGAAGACAAGCTGTCGTATAGGCGCGTGTAATCGGCGGGATGGAAAAGTATTCTTGTTGAAGTGCCATAAAAGAAACGTTGGAAGAGCTAATATATGTTCATGCAAATCTATCAATAATAATTTCTTATCTATAACAGGATATGATATTAATTCATTCTTGTAAGACACAGTCAAAAATCCACGTTGCAGATGAATATACTACAAAACCGATGTACCAATCAATCGGACTGACAACTTGCGTTAAAGATGTCACACATTCATGGTATGAGACAAGATGCTGATGAAATTACCGTTTTTTTTTACTGAAGAAAAACATTCGGATTCAGAGTCTCATTGAAATGTTGATAAACATGTTGCTGGTATCTTTCTTCTTTAGAAACTAAGCTGATATCATGATGTTTTTCAGATCGATTGTCAAACAATAGTGAATATTTGATTTCAGTTTCAGCATATTAATATTTTTCAATGTGTAATGTAATGCCATATATATGAACAAACAAACAAAGAAGAAAAAAAAGTAGAGCGACAAATGAGAATAGATCGAAATAAACTGAATGCATGCAAGAAGATCTACAAAAAAGAAAGAAAGAGAGGAGAAAAGATCACGGGTTACACAAAGAAAAACGAAAGTATGGTTCTTCTAAGGGTGTATATATTAATATATATATTTATTTATTTTTTTGCCTAAAAATGTTAATAATAATAATAGTAATAATGGTAATAATTTAAAAAGAAAGAAGTGCGTAACAAAAGACGAAAGGAATGCAACTATATCGTCGTAAGTATTTAAAAAAAAAAGTTCACTCACGGAAATACATACACAGACGGATAATTCAGTAAACATCATCGAGACTAAAGTATTTACGTGGGTATTGTTTTTGTCATAAGAAAGAGAAAAACGAGAATTTCAGATCTTCAATATCCTGGATAACCAGGTGCACCACCGTATGGTGGATATACGACACCAGCACCATAAGCTCCTGCGGGTGGATAGATACCCATACCAGGTCCAGTGATCATCAATGGTCCTTGTGCTAAAGCAAAATTTTCAAAATGGTCCTTTTCATTTTATAGATATTTTTCGTACCACTGAAATCGATGGGTTTCGAATTGTTTGTTTCTTCGATTTCTGTACGAACTTGGTCCGATTGTTCGAGTTTATCCACCTGAAGAATAAGAGTCAAAACCGAAATAATGCTTTGCTATGACTGCCTACCTTAGAAATATATTCTCGCATAACTTGAATCATGTATGGCATAGCAAAATCCATGATATCATGACGCCAAGCGAGTTCGAGTATCACATCAGGTCGTAACAGATCATAACATTGAAAGAGACATGCACCGAAACATTCAAATAATTTCTCAGTGAGAAACCATGAGATCAGATCTTCAGCTATATCAACTTGACGAGACTCAGCAGCATAAGTCATTGAATCCTTAACAAAACGTTTTCGATAAGAAAGTCTGTTTTAAATTACCTTCTCGGCGTCTTACTTTGTATAAACGATCCTTTTTACATAATTCCACAGCTTGTTTCCATCGGTTATTTCCTTTGTAAAGATAAGCAGATATACGTCGAAATTCAGTTAATTCATGTTTTTCAAGTCGTTGTGCTAATGAGATGTTATCGAAATTGTCATAGGCATCAATTGAACTTCGTAAACCTTGATAGTCTTCTTCTTCGATCAAAAGATTATTCAAAGCTTCATTGATGGCTTTATTGTTTATATTCTGTACTGAACGTAAGTATGGTTTAACCAATGGTAATTGTTTGATTTTAAGGAAGTAATTGACAGCACGTGTATGATCAAGACGTGGAGATAAGATTAAAAGTAAATCATTTAATAACATTGGTTTATATTCCAAATAGAAATCGATCGCTTTGTAATATAATTCAATATTGGCTACTTTACTAATAATATCCTTGAAATGATTTTCACGCCATGCTTCTGTTGGATGAGCCATCATGGTTAACACAGCATTATCATATTCTTCATATTTGTCGTAGAGAAATACCAATTCCGACCAAAGATGAGCTTGTTCACATGCACGAAGTACCTGAATCGACCAGATGCATTTTTTCGTATGAAGAAAAGAACCAAACATTTACCTTTGGTTTTCGAACACGTGACCAAAATAATTCTAAATGTTCGCGCATCTTTTGTGGTTTATATTTCGAGTATAGGATGGCCAATTCAGTAAACATGCCGATGTGTGCACGTTCATGACCAAGAGCTGCTTCGAGAAGTTGAATTAATTCTTCAAAATAACCACGATTTAGATAATAGTTAATTAATTCTTCGAGTTCTTCAGCTTGAACAACAATTTGAATACCACAGATTTGAGCAAGACGAAATTCTTGTCGGTCAATACAAGCGAAGCAGATCTAAATGACAATCATTTTCATCGTGAATCATTCAAAGTGGTCAAAATCAACTATTACCTCTTTCCATGTTTTCGTTGAATTGGCTTTACGTGCACTATCGACAGCGCCTTGATAATCACCCAGAAAACATAGTGTAACAGCTAATTTGGCATAGTTCGAGATATTATTGTAGAGAAGTTTAGCAGCTTCGTACAGTCCTTGATCGAAACAACGATCACCAACCTAATCGACAACAAACAAATCAGTTTTGTGTTCGTTACATACATCGTGAAATCTAGTGCATCAGAGCAGGGCCCCTATCTGTTTTTCATTCATATTGAAAATCAGCTGGTTAAAATTTACGAAACCGGAATTTTCTCATCATTTGCACTGATCACTATACATTCATCTTACCGCTTGGATTTGTGCATGATTTGGCGCAGTAATAAATTCCTCCAATTCAGCCAATCGATTGGTTTTAGCATAGGCAAATGCTAATTCAGTTTCAACAAATGTTTCACGAGCCTTCTTACGAGCCATTTGTAGGTAGCGAACCAAATCTTCCCAACTTTCTGCAAGCAGACCGTTTCTTTAGATTCGGATTATGAAACGTAGAAAACTTACGATTTTGAGTAGCAACATTGACGACTTCCAAGTATGATGTTGGATCATCCGCTTTAATGAATGAATCAATTGCTTCTTTAACAAGACCTTGTCGTATCTGAGCATTAGCTAATAAGCTCCACACGCCAGGTTCGTTGCAACGTTCAGCAAATTCGTAGGCACGATCCAAGTTTTTGATATGATCAATAAGTACCTGAATAGCTGAAGTATTAACTTCGAATTTCTTGTAAATCGAGAACGCTTCTTCGTATAACTGATTGCTAATAGCAATGTTGGCGATATCTGGTGCATCGTAATTTTCTAAACGATTGATATAATCCATCACACGTGTACGATCTGCTTTGATCGCAGTTAAAATAAGTAGATTTTGTAAATTGCTAATCAAATAAGAAAAGTAGACATTTTTAAAAGATGAAAAGCGAAAATCTCGCGTTTACCGATGTTCGCTGAAGACAGAATTGTCGAGAACGATTTTTTCTAATAATTCGATCAAATTGTTTGGTAAATCAGCAGTCATGAAGGCTTTCACTGTCACTGAGATCTCTTCCGGATCTTGAGTTTCAGTCAAAGCTGTTTGAATGACCTGATCAATCAGTGGTCGCCGATATTGATTATCCTCACGTAGAACATGTTCCCAAAGGGCCGGATCTTTTCGACGGACCAAATAACGTGCTTCGCTTTTAAATAATGAATTTTCATTACAAACCTAATCAAATGAGGAAAAACAAACATGATTCATTTTGAAAAGAATCTTTCATCTTGGTCAGACAGTACGAATACAAGATAAAATTTGAATCATATTCTTTCATATGACTTTGAAATAGTATGCATCATTCCAAGATTTCTGTACTTACATTAATTAATTCCATATCACAACCACCACGTTCATATGCAACACATGCTAGATGTGGATCACGTTTTTCGCAATATTTTCCAACAACACGGCTATCATAATGAGGATTATCACGTAGGAATTTTTCCGGATTGCTATTGGAGTCAATGTAGATTTTAGCTAATGCATTATGAACGCCCGGATCGTTGCTACCATCATGAACACGAGTTTCGAGCCATGGTAACAATAGTTTCATACTAGAATTGAAAGTAGAAATATATTCCTGAACTACTCTTTCTCTGAGACCAACCGATTTCGTTTTTCCACTTCTTCGACCAGTTCGTCAACGTTGAAATTGCCTCGAACGGATAGAATTAATTGTTTGATTTGATCTTCACTACAATCCACATCGAGCAAACCGCCAACGACAACTGGCAAACGTCCTGAATTCACCTACAACGAAGAAGATTTACTTCAATCAAAACATGATTGGAAACGTACTCGTTGAACATAGATTTCGATATTTTTCATAAGATTATTTCGGTATAAATAAAGAACAAGATCATGCACGAAATTGAATCGATCACAGACGATAATCAGCGGTAATTGATCCGTTAGTTTAGCTTCTTTGAGAAAATTCTTTACACGTTCCGGATCGAAACAGTTTGATTCACGGCAAATACGTTCGACTTCTTTGATTTGACCTGTTTTGCATGCAGCTTGAATATATTTAAAATGGACATCCTGCTCTTGACTGAAATTCACAATTGAGCCAAGAAAATAGAAAAGACCTAAAAAAGAGCAAAAAGCATAGTTTTGTTTGAATCCTCAGGATCATTAAACTAAATATGGAATTTAATGAGCTGTTTTCTTAATCCGATTGTTTGATATTGCCTGGACATTCATCGTATCACAATAAGGATATGATACGAGCGGTTCCATGCGAAAAAACTTTCATATCGATTTGGAAAAACTTGTCAGAACTACACTGGAATGAATGTATCCACATTTCCTTATGAAAGGATGTCGGATAAAGTGCACGCGAATCATCATATAAGTTTTCCAATCGTAAGACTTGAACACGGGACTTTCGAAATCTCTTATCAAGCAATAGAACATTTGGACTAAACTTTCATGATGATAAAGAGTACTTTTACGAACTAACCTTCATAACTTTTGAATGATTCAAACATTTCGATAAGTTTGGCTGTTCCGAGTTGTTCATGATATTTCGTGGCAATTTGAACAACGACTTGTAAATTTTGGCGAATATTTGCTTGGAGCATTGCTTTTAAACATTCCAAACAGTCGTCGACGGATAATCGACCAAAATAGTTAACAAGCCACTAATGAGAAGAAAAGCAACAAATCGAATCAATCGTTGTTTTTTTTTCGAATGTCCCATACTTACATCAGGATTAAGTAAATGTGTGTGCACAACGGCACGTTTGATATCGTACAAATCAGTGTAATGCTCAAGTGCTCGTTGAAGTAAACCAGCTTTTTCGCACAATTGAGCGATATGTGGTCGATCATAGTGTGTAAACATGTTATTACCCAAGATCGCATCAGCCACCTGCAATTAAACTGATGAACATGGTATTTTTCTTTCTGTAAGTGATCATACTTGTGGTGCTTGCATTAGATTCATTTCTAAGAGACGTGTTTGTAAGTGTCCTTGATCTTCTCGATTGTTTTTCAATGCTTCGAGTAAGAATGCGGTACATTGTTGAACAAGATTTTGCTCGAGAAAGACATCGACAACTTGAGTTAAATCAGCCAAGGGTTCACTATCTTGAACGAGTAACTGTTCAATAGAAAAATTTTAATTTCAAGAATGAGAGAAATGAAAACTCCTACTTGTGCGAATTGAACACCTTGTTCTGGATTTATGCGCATGATACTTCGTAGAAGATAGATATAATCCGGTTGAAAATTAACTTTCTTAGCATAGAGTACAATCTTTTGGTATTGACCTGTTTCGGCGAAACATTGTATAACTTTCATAGGAACATTAGCGCGTAGATAGACGGATAGAGCCAATGTTGGGTCAATAGTTTTCACTAAATCACCTAATAGTTCGCTGCATTCAAGCTAAACAAGTAAAAAAAACATTTTGCTCTCGAAATCTGGTCGTATAGGAACTTACTTTATCTTCTTTTAACCATTTTTCAATCAGTTGTTTCTTTCCTTGCATGACAACTGGTTTACATAATTCGATCGATTCTTCTTTGTTTAGTTTACTCGATTCTAATAGGATACTAAAGTATTGAAGTAATGGAGATGGCTGACCGGGTTGGGCAGGAACTGTCTGGAATTGTTGAATGGTTTGTTGAGTTCGAAGTATTCCCTAGTTGGCAAAAGAAAATCGGAATTCTTTTATTCGAATGATTTTCGACAGAAATTACTCTTGGTGCAGTTGCAGCAACTTTAGCAGCTTCAGCGAAATTTCCACTTTGAAATAATTGAGCGAATCGAGCCAAAAATAGTTGATCAGCACCTGGTAAATTACATCTTGCTGACATTTTATAAGCAAGTTCCGCATTGCCCAAAGTATTTTGTATATACGAAACAACATTGTCTTCATCAATGCTAACCGAAAGAACCTTTGAAACAGAAGCCGTCAGTAAACGAAACAAATCATTCATTTTCTTATCTATTTACTTGTCCTTTACGATTAACAGCAATAATACCAGATGATGTTTCATGTGGTGCAGTGACGAACATCGTATCTGCACTAATACGATTCATATAAATCAATGTACCCGTTTCGATCTCGAACATATGAATGTAACCGTATTTTGTCACTAGATAGATAACACCATGCTTCGATGACGTTTGCATAGCAACAGGAAAATCATTAGGTGCTTCCGCTGGAAATTGAACATCAATGGCTTTCTTTTGAAATGGTTGATTATCTGGTGCTGGTGTGCCAACTTCAATAATATGAAGCTAGAGAAGAAGCCATGCAAGATTAAGTTAAATCAACAGTATTTTGTTTTACTTTTCCTCCTTGAGGTCCTCGAACGCCAAATGAAAAAAGTGTTGATGGTTGTTTATTTCCATCGAGTTTAAATTGTGTAAATGCAGCGGCATGACCTTCTATCGGTTGGGAAACTTTTCGTTCGACCGAGTAAAGTTGCATACGGCCAACCACTCGACTATCTTGCGCTTGGATTCCTATAAAACCGCACCCATGAAAGCATTTCAAACCGGAAAAAAGTATGAACTTACCGATGATAAGTAACCATTGCAATGATTCATCTGTTCGATAGTTAATTATTTGACAACCTTGTAAAGTTTGATGACGATCGAACATTTTCACCGGTTGACTTTCACCCTCCATTGACCAGTGATACACGGATGTTTCTGTCACGATACCGATAGTGTTCACACTGACCCATTTCCAAAAAATACAGTCCTCAGTCATATTGAATGTTTTCATGCGACTACGCAGTTCAATGTTGAATATTTGGAGGGTTTTACCAGCTAGAATTCAACATATTTCGTTGTGATAATTGCGCTTTTTTGATTTCTTCTTTTACCTTTTAATGCAATCACTTTACTTGTTGGATGCATAATGGCTGAATCCGCAGTAATTGGCCGTTTGATTGGATTACTAGTATCAGCCATATCGATTATAATTACAAAGGCTGTATCATTAACTTTCTCTCGTATGCAAATGAACTTGTCGGACTCCATTGTTAAGGAACTGAAGCCGATGTTCGCAACATTGATACCGACATTTTGAAGCTAAAAACAATCAAGATTTCGTTCAGTTTAAATAGAAATCTATCAATTGAATGAATTTACTTGTAAATGCTCTTGAAATTTGATTGGCAATTGTCCAGCCATGCTTAAATAACTAGTGTCAAAATCTTAAATTAAAGGGAAAAAAAGCAAGTTGTGTTTCGCTCATCGATACATATTTCGTCTTCTAGTTATAAGAGTGAGCTATGACCTCCAACAAGCTTTATTAGTCATTTGTTTTTCTTATCTATTGATGCAACCTAGACTGTATAAAATACTCTACTCTCGTCTTCGACTGAGCGGGTATAGACAAGGCGGAGTACAATGCAAACATTGAAATTAAGAAACGTATGGGTGGATGGTAGCATAAGAAATGAAGAAAAGGAAGACGGAGAGAGATACATGGTTATGTTCGTTCGCGAATGAGTCATCCACCGACGACTTTCTTCTTCTTCTTATTCTCTGTGTATGCCTCTAGTTAAAAATACAAACTGAATGGCGAATAGTTTGATCAAAAACGATGAGAAAGAATTCTGAGAAAAAAAAACATATTCGAAGGTAGTTTGTTTTACTTTTCCATACAGAAAAGATCGTCTTTTCTATGTAAATTTAGTTTGAAATCGAAGAAAGAAATAATAAATTTACCTTACAAGAAAGCAAAAGTTTTAACCAATCAAATCCGGATGCCACGTTTGTTTATTTGATTTTATCGACCGACTGATGGATACGCATAAAATACAGCCCAAAAATTATCAAATGAGAATCTACTGAAAACCGATCTTTTCAAACTAAATAATTTGTCCTGCAGTATAGGAATAAATGCATTATCATACGTCTGATAGATGACACTATCTGTTAATTCTCAAACTTAAGTCGAACACAATCAAAGTACATACATCTCGGTTGGAAAACATGAGTAAGCAGTTAAAAGGAGCGTTTAGATATTATCTTATACATACTACTGTCGATGGGAAAAACCAGTTCGAGATAAATGTCACCAGATAATTCATTGTCTCGCCCCTTATGATATGGAGAGACACGTAATAAGCTTTTGTCGTGTTAAAATACAACTCGCCAACGCAGATGAAAATGGACGAGTTACAATTATCATATGTTTTCTTTTGCATCAATCAAACAGAGACCTGATTTCTTACGAATCAAAGTTGTGATTATAGAAAACATTTTTCTTTCGTTGTTGTTTTTCTTTCCTCCAATGACTAATTAATGTCAGTTAAGTTAAATAAATGTTATTATTACTTCGAAATAACCTAGTATGACGCTCGTTTTTTGCTCCGTATGGAGAGGACGCTAGTTAATGATATAAACAAAATCAAGAAAGAGTAATTGTCAGAATTTCCTAGCAAAAAAACGAAAATGTTGTTTTGACAAATAAAGTTGTAGAACAACATCAAGCATTGAATATTAATTTTGAATTATTTCTGGAAGAATTCAATTGATGAGTCATTCGATGTAAGTCGGAGTATTTCTCGTGTCGTGACTGTCAACGTGTTTGCAACATAGGTTTGTGGCGCGGGTGTACTCGGTGATTTCGTCGATGTTTTCAGAGTACAGGGTGCATATCTATCTATTTACTTTTATGATTAAATGTGTATATTTATAACCATATATCATTGCGTTGCCTCATTTCATCGGTGATTTTAGATAAATCTTTGTTTACTCGAACATATTTCTGCTTTCGACATGTATAAAATATTTCTTTTGACTATCGTGTGTGTTGCCATTGTCAGTGGCAATCTTCAAGATGATATTAAAGCAAAGACATCAGATGCTTTACATCAAGGTGAAAAATTAAAAGTAGGTTCTAAGGGCATCACTTATACAATCATCGTGCTTTGTTGTACGTATAGGATCAAGTAGTCGACGCTGTTAATGAAAACGTTGAAACGTTGAAAGATAAAGCTTGTAAGTGTAACTAAAGCTGATTTCCACCTAAGTTTGATTATTTTCTGTAGCGGATGCTCTCAAAGCTGGTCAGAAGGTCGCTGCGGATGCAAAAGAAACAGCTGGTAAAAAATTTGATGAAGCTAAACAAGCTGGTGAAGGTCTTCGAAAAAAAGCAAGCGAAAGTTTCGATGATTTGTAAGTCGCTACGGCTGAATAATTCATGTTTTTTTTATTTGAAAATATATTTTTAGGAAGGATGCAGCTGGTGATACTGCCAAATCAGCTAAAAAGGCAGCTGATAATGTAGCTGATCAAGCTAAGAAGGCCGCCGAAAACGCAGCTAATCAAGCTTCGAGTAACCAATGCAGAGGATGTTGTTTTGATGTAAAATATGCTTGTTATTCGTTTAGAACAAGGTGAAAAACTCCGACGCCAAGCAAGTGATGCTGGCGAAAAGGTCAAATCAGCGGCTAAACAAGCAGAACAACAAGGTGAAACTCTTTTAGATAAAGCTTTTAGCGTCCTCAATGATGTCAAAGACTCGATTTTGGGTAAGGAAAAAGAAGTTCTGTCTTTGAAAAGATCATTTTAACGTGAATTCTTGTTTAGAAACTGTTGGCTTTGCTTCTAAACACGCAGCTGCTTATACCGATCAAGCTAAAGAAAAATTCGATGAATACTCTGGTAAAGCTCAAAAAACAGCTAAGCAAGCAGAGAAAAAGGTGAAAGAATCACTTGACTTATAAATCTATTACGTCCATGAACGAGTCAGTAGAAATTGACATTTAAACATCATTTTTTTGTGTATCTTTTCCATTATTGCTCAGATCTCTTCTTCCTGAGCAATATTTTCTATCATTCTTCTTTGTTTATTTCATCATCTAGCGAATTTAATCAAGCATATAGAAAATCATTTATTTCAGCGAAATTCCATTTTTATGCTGTTCGTATTTTCTTCATTTTTATTACTCCTTATCATATCATTCTTCAACATCTTCCTTTCTTCTCTTGAACTGTGTTTCTAAACAACCGATGAACTATATAGGACAGAATACGTCATTGTATTTACCGGTTCGTCCAAAAGTCACAGACAAATAGTCAGTCACTCATGTTTTCCTCATTGTGCACATAAACCATACTTTTTTGTTTTTCTTGACAAATAAACAAACGAAAAACCCTCAAACAACGTCTTTTGTTTTTGTTTTAATTTAAAGTTTGCAAAATTTCATTCTCATTTTATGTTTCAGAATCTATACATAGGATATACTCGTCCATTTCTCGAACAAGATATTACACAAAAATGCAACTCTCACAGAAAATCTTCTTTACACTTGCTGTCATCTGTTTAATCTCAACCGCGTATGGTAAACAAAAAACAACGAAAGACAAAGTTGTTGAAGGAGCAACACATATCAAAGATACAGTCGCAGATAAAGTCGCTGATGGTGTTAAAACTGGAGCAAAACTAGCAACAGACGGAGCAAAAGTTGCTGCAGATGCTGCTAAGACTGCTGGTTAGTACATGCAAATTTTTGAAAATAGTAGAGTGAGTCAATTTTCGTCTTTATGCGAATTTCCAGGAGATTATGTTGCTGATGCTGCTTCTAATGCAGCTAAAGTTGGCCAAGAAGCAGCAAATGATGCAGCCAAAGTAACCAAAGAATACGTCGCTGCTGGTGCTCAAAAAACTCAAGAGGCTTACAATGAATATGTACGTTATTGAAAACTTTTTTTAAGTATCGATATCAACTATTGGTTTCGTACATTTTTTTTGTAGGTCGCACCTACTGCCTCTGAGACACTGAATGTCGTCAAGGAGAAAGTTGTCGAAGCAGCTAAGGTCAGTCAAGAAGCTGCAGCCGAAGCAGCCAAAGTAACCAAAGAATATGTTGCTGCTGGCGCACAAAAAACTCAAGAAGTGTACAATGAATACGTGAGTGACGAGTAATCCTCTTCAACAGGTCGCAGCAATTCTATTCATTCATTTTAAGGTTGCGCCAGTAGCGTCTGAAACACTGAATGTTGTTAAAGAAAAAGTCGTCGATGCTGCTCATGTCACTGCGGAAAAAACACAAGAAGTCCTCAACGAATATGTACTTCCAACTGCTCAAGCTGGTATCGAAAAAACACAAGAAGTTTATAAAGAATACGTCGCTCCAGCAGCTGCCGCAGGTAGAAAAATAACAATTGACAATTTTGTACTGAATTAACCCGAATCATTGTTTGTTCTTCTAGGTGCTGAAATCGTCAAAGTATGTATTAAATACTTAATAAAGTTATGGTAAAATTTATTAATGGATTTGACTCATTAGGAAAAAGTCGCCGAAGCCGCCAAAGTCGGTTCTGAATACGCTGAAGTTTTGAAAGAAAAAGCTGCAGAGGCGGCAAAAGTTGGCTCAGAATACGCTGAAGTACTGAAAGAAAAAGCTGCCGAAGCAGCCAAAACCGGTTCCGAATATGCTGAAGTGTTGAGTGAAAAAGCAATCTCTGCTGCTGAAGCTGGTAACGAATATTTAGCACATGGAGCCGAAGTTGTTAAAGAATATGCTACGTAAGTTATGAAAGATAGTTGTGTTCCACTAGTTTCTATTAATTTGTAGAGAATATGCCGATGAAGCTCTCAAACAAGGTCAGGTATTCAAAGAAGTCGCGAAAGAAAAACTTGGAGAAATGACCGCTGAAACGATCAAAAGTAACTAAAAAGACAGAACGAACAGAATGGATAGAGAAAGTCAAATATTTCGTTGAATTGCTAGGTGCGAAAGAATTTGCTTCTGAAGCAATCAAAGCTACCAGTGAATATGCTGCTCATGCTAGCGAAGTATTACAAGAAAAAGTTCCCGAAGCTCTCGAAGGTCTGTCAATACATTTTCTTCTGCAAAACGTTATCAAATATCGTTCATTTTATGTTGTTTTTCAGCTGGAAAAGAATTCGCTGCCAAGGCTGTTGAAGTTGGTCAAGAGTATGGTAAAGAAGCCCTGGAAAAAACTGAGAAATATGCTGAGCAAGTTTATGAAGCTGGCAAAGCTAAAGCTGAAGAACTTCTTCGAGAAGCGAAGAAGAAAGTCGATTTATAAGCAAAAACAAAAGACAATAGATACCATCAGATCTTCGTTCTTCTTCGCAAATTTTTATATCAAAATTTGATTTCTGCTTCAGTTTGCTTGCTAGAATCAAGAAGAACCAACGATTTTTATAGATGTGCCATGCACAACTTTTTCTTTCCTTGTCACACCGATATTGATGTTTATTCATTGTTTCATTATCTCTGTATTTCTCTTCTATAAATAATCAAGCGCATTTGTGTTTTGTATACTCAATTTATCTTTGTTATTTTTATTTCTTCCTGCTAGTAAAAGTCATGTGTCTCGCATTTGTTCAAATGAATTTTCTTTTCTTTGTTTTTCTTTTGTTATCCGTACTTTTCTTCTCTTTCAATCCAATGTCGTGCATTAGTCTTGACATCAATCTTTCGTACACATATTCCTATTTCAGTAATAATGAATACATTATATAAAAAAACGTATATCCAGATATGTTTGATATCATTCTAGAACTTTCTAATTTAAAAAAAGGTGTTTGAGGTCACTACTGTCGATGTAATTATCTGAGCGCGGCAGCCTCTCATTGGTTATTTCTCTTCACCTTCCTATTTAAAACAAGTAGTACACACGTCTTAGTCGTCCTTTTCTTCAATCGAGATATATACTCTTTTACTTGCATCAAATTTAGAATCCTTGCAGATTGCTTCTCTGCTCCGAAAACGATGAAAGTCCTCTATGCGTGTTCTGCTCTTCTTTTCTTTACATTCATTGTATCAAGTAGTGCCCATACCCAAGGAACAGTCACTGTTGATACTCTAACATTTGATAAGATTCTTCGAAGTTTCGATATTGTCCTTGCTAAATTTGACGATAAATACCGTACGTAGAGAAGCTCTTTTTGATAAACTTTCTCTCATACTGACATCTTAATTTTAGCTTATGGTGAAAACCAAGATCAATTCAAGAAATTTGCTGAAAACGCAGCAAATACAAAAAATCTTCTTATTGCTGAAATTCCAATTGTTGACTACGGTGACAAGGAAAACGAACAATTAGCTAACGAGTACAAGGTCACCAAGGCTGATTTTCCAGCTTACAAACTATTTCTCAAAGGCAAATCCAAACCAATCGATTTTACTGGAGAGAAAACTGAAGATGGTCTTAAACGTTTTCTTTCTCAACATACAAGTAATGGAATATTGATTTGAATTGGAAAGAAAACTGAACTTTTATGTCTGTTAGATCTTTGGTTCGGTTTACCAGGTACATTGGAAGCGTTAGATAAGATTGCACGAGAATTTTTCGATGCCTCATCAGCAAGTGATGAAACTCAAACGAAATCATTGATTGAAAAGGCACGGGAACAAGTTAAAGGTTTCGTCGATAAAAAAGAGCAAAAGAGGTGAGTGAAAAACAATAATAAAATGATGATCTAGTATAAATACGATTCAATTATGTGATTATAGTGGTGATTCATATCTGAAAATTATGGAAGCAGTTGCTAAACAAGGCGTAGAATTTCTTAAACGCGAAGGACGACGTGTTCAAAATTTACTCAAAGGAAAAGTAATTGAAAGCATTCGCTAAATGAGCATTTCATGCATCATATGTTTTTTTTCTTAGATCACGAATGAAAAGAAAGAAGAATTACAACATCGTGCCAATATTCTTTTATCATTTAAATCGTTGAAAGAAACTGTGTCGGATGCAGTTGATGCTGCTAAAGAGAAAGTTGCTGATGCTGCCGAAAAAATCAAAGAACTATGAAGAAAATCAATAGACGATCGATAATCAAAACAGACATTTTCTAGATAAATTAGCTTTTAGAGTAATTTTGGTGTGTCTTTCAAAGTGGAGAGCAGATGAAGGAGTTGTGAAAATCAAACGAAGAAAATTGTTTTAACAACTGCACATGTTTCATTAAGCATTGATGTGTGTGTCCACTTATTTTCTCTGTCTCTCACATTTTTCTCTTTGCTTTTGTTTTTCTGTAGTGATGTTTTAACATTTTCTTTTTCGATGCAATATACACTTGACTTAGAACGCAAAAAGCACTGGAAAATCAAGATTTTCTTGCAAAGATTTAAAATAAAACAAGAAAGAACGAAAAAAGGAAAACAAAGAATATGTGATATGCTCTTTTAGATTATGCCACTTAGTTTTGATTGGCCATTCCCTCAAAAGCCATCGAGAACATACAAAGTACTTTCAACAGTGACTATTGGACTTGTCGGAACATTGAGTAGACTATGGATGAGTAAGTGAGATCAACCGGTATGCAAAAGTACGGTCATTGGTGTTCTTTCTTCTACTAGATCATCTTACTTCGGTACGAATTGAAAATGGTAATGAAACTGTTCTATTTGATTATAGCTTATATTCTTTTCTCTTTTTTTATAAGGCGATATTCTTCTCAATGCTGTTCTTCATCGAGATCCCAATCGACCATTAATTACTGCGACCAATCATCATTCTTGTAAGCAATATTTTTTGTTGAGACACGCCCATTTAGTTTTTATCTATTTCTGTATGAATAGGTCTAGATGAACCACTGTTGATCGGTATATGAATGGTAGTTTTCTTCTCCTCTCACCCTATAACACATTAATCTGTTGTTTTATTTGGTATTTATACTGATCGCCTATTAACATTTGTTATTTTTATAGGAGCAACAATGCCATATCATAGTTTTTGGAATCGTAAAAAGATGCGATGGGCATTGGGCGCCGATGATATTGTATTTACTGTGAAAAAACATCAGATTTTCTTCAGTTTGGGTAAAACAATTCCAATCAAACGTGGCGATGGTGTTTTTCAGCGACCGATGGATTTCGCATTAGAACAACTTAATCAGGGTGATTGGGTACACATTTTTCCAGAAGGTATCAACATTTCTCATACGTAATGGTTCTCATAATACTCTTTTAGGTAAAATTAATATGACAAAAGAGTTGATCAGATTAAAATGGGGTAAAATTTTCATTTTGATATTTACCTGTGATACGACATGATTACGATAGGTGTTGGTCGACTGATTGCCGAAGCTAATATTTGTCCTCTTGTTGTGCCGTTCTATCATCTTGGTATGGATTCGGTACTACCAAATGTGGAACCCTACAAACCTCAAACAGGACAAAAAGTGAGCATATATGTCGGCGAACCATTGATCCTTGATGATATGGTGAGCAATATGAAGAAAGAAAATCGATCTCCAGTATGTAATCGTATTTGGTTAAGTTATTGAATTCATTGTATTTTATTTTTAGGAAGAAATACGTAAGGCAGTGACCGATGTTATTCAAAATGAGTTTGCCAAATTAAAAGTAAAGTGTGAAGAGTTACATCGACGACATTTAGCCGGTGACCCGTCTTCCTCATCATCCGGAACATAAATGAAAAAATATTTTTAGTTTATTTTGATACTGATATTTCCCTTTGTATTAGTACAAAAGAGAATAAAAAAGTATTGTAGTTCTATTTCAATAGGAAAAGCAGAAACGACATAGTCTACCATTCATGCCGCTTGTCTATGTGAGAGAGAGCGGACGTGATTTTTACAGAACCATAAGATAAATTCGACTATAATTCGTACATATATTGTCAAATAACTATGATGTTCGTGACCACTGAAATATATTGAACAAGAAAAAAAAACACATCGCTGTTTCTGCATCATTTAACAAAACTTTATGAGCAGTATCGAATTTCGAGACGGACAATCTAGAGTCCATGCTGGTGAGTGAGAGAATCTCAGTGCCATCTTGGCATGCACTTATCTAACACAAATTAATTTATGTTTTGTATTCCGATTTCAACTTCGACCATGAAAAGGCAACGTTTTTTCTTCTTGAGATGGACCATCGACCTTCCTCTATCCATTCTGTGGGGACATATGATAGGTCACAAGTACAGCCCTGGACTGAACGTTATCTGTGGTAGAATAACGATTACATGTGCCTGGAATAAATGAAGAAGAGAGAGAAGACCAAGACAAGATCGTGTATAAACATCGACTTTCGTGCGTAATATATTCATTGGTAAATTTCAGATAGAAGGTTAGGAACATGTATCGATGCACATGCGGTCGGCTCTACGAATATCATACCCAAGTGTTCGTGAACACAGTTTTTTTCCAATGTCAATTTTTCTTTTTCATTTAGATTAGGATGCATGCGTATGCATCAAAGTGATGTTCCAGAAAACAATGCTCAGAACAATACTCCGCAGGGTTTTCAATGGTAATTGCTTCAGCAGGCATGGTGTATTTTAAATTGAATTCTACTGAGACATAGGTGCTTTCGTGTTAGTTTATATTCTTCGTCCTAGGAATCATTCTTTCAACGATTTCTTTCGTTAACCCAGGTAGCGAGGCAAATTTGACTCATACGCGATACATATCATTCATTCAGACAGCCACTAACGCTGCCTAACAGAGCGAATTAAGTGTTTTTGTTGTTGGTCGTTTTGCACAGTGACGCGAATTGTATTGGCTAGATTGTCTTAAGTTAAGTTCGTGTGAAAACAGATCTAAGATGACCTGTTGATAGATCATATCTCTTCTTTTCCAAAAATGGAAAGAATAAACTCATCTGACGTCAGCTTTCCTTTTTTTTTCTTCTTTCCTGGTTCCATCTGAATAAATATAAATAGGTTTAACTGATCATCTATCCGTCTACATCTTTTTGACAAGCATATCTTTTTGCCTATTGAAACATCTGTTGATTCATTATGGCTGTCGAAATAGCAAATATTCAGATGCATTCGGTACTTTTTTCACTATTCCTTGTTACTTATCTTCGACTTTGACTTCTTTTTTCTTGGTTCTAGATAGAACAGATGCATAAAAAATGGCAAGATGCACAATACAAAATAGGCTGCTTATTATTCCAATTAGCAGCTGGTATCATGTCGCATCAAGATTTCAAAAATCAAGTGCAACAAATAATCCAAGAGTTTTACATGAGACTTGGGGAAATACTTGGTTGTCAATTCTAGTCAAATGATACACGAAAGAAGACTTTAAAAATATCGGCAGATTGTGTTCGCTTCATCACTTGTGCTTATATTTTCACATGCTCACGTTCTCACTTTTGTTTGTTGTTCTTATTTCTCTCTCATTCGGATAGACAACATTTTATGTTATTCTTATGAGTCGTCTGTCTTGAGATTGACTTCTTTTTTAACTAAACGAAAGTAAAAATATCGATGTCTTTGGAGTTATGTGCCGTTGAAAAACGATGCATACACTAGAGAAAAGCAAATAAGCATGTTTATTTCTATGCATGTTTCTAACTACAAATCTTTGAACTTTAAAACTTTATTTATCGACAGGATTTCGTGTTACTCTTTCGTTTTGATATTGAGGTGCACGATAATTAGGTCGCGCAGTAGCGTGCCCATATAAGGGTGTTCTATGCGTTGGCAATGTAGCTGGTGTGTAAAGACGCGTTCGATGAGTGCGCATTGTATGCATCTGTGGTGCGGGTGTCGCTTCCGTTGGCAATGGATTGCGTTTACTTTCATAGCCATCGCCGATTTCCCATCGTTGAAAGTCGTTCCAAGCACTTAATTTTGGACAAAAACGTTTGCCTAACATGGTACACTTTTCCTCATAAGCTTTTCGAGCTTCACGTTTCTGCTCTTCACACTTGCTCTTTCCTGGATGGAAAAACGTTCGACGATTTCGAAACAAAAACTGCAAAGCTTCGTTGGGCTCAACTAAAGAAAGATCAATTCATTTCAGAACCTTTAACTAACCGGCCAGAATAGACAAACTTTGAAATTCATCGTCAGATTCTGATGTCACCGTGACAATGAAAATCACGCAAACGAAAAGACATGTCTTCTACAGCCATAGATAGAACATAAGAAATTTAAAAAGAATATAAATATACATTCAAAATGTCTAAGTACCTTCATATTCAGACAGCTATATGCTTACGAATGAAAGAACCGAATTACTGCTTTTCCTATCTCTCGAATATTATCATAATCCATATATAAAGCAAAATACTCGTATGAGGACTATCATCTGTCATTCAACAGTAACATTATCGAATAGTAGTTGAAAAGCTATATTATCGCATAATATGTCATATTTGTGTTTGTCTTAACTTCGGAGAGACGAAATAAAGTACCGCGTGATGATTTATAGATATCATAAACATCAGTTTGTAGAGGAGAGCGATTTTGACTCCATACATTCAACGCGTGATGTGTTTATATAAAAAAAAAACATATTTCGCGAGGCTAGACTATTAAATAAATTAAAATAGTTTCTTTTTCACACCATGTACTCAATTTATTTCGTCAAAGAGATGTGTTTATGCGTATGACGTACGCTTTTGTCATTATGAATACCTGCAGGCGCTCTATGTCGACTTTTGAATCCCTCGGCGATGATAATATAGTGAACTAAATAACATGAAGTATTGCCCGAATGATTACACGTGATGAAAAAAAACGAAAAAGGCTACTATAGAGACAGTTTATAGATGTCAACTATTGCAAAAGTATAATTTAGCTCTGTATATAAAGGGCGACATTGTTTTAAAAAGTAATTAATGTACTTATTTCACCATTGTATCTAAAGCAAATTTGATGACAAAAGTGAAGGAAACTGAAGTCAATTGCATTCCATTGACGACAACAAATAGTTCAACGCTGAACCCTATGCATTCTGTTACAAATCATGAATATCATGAATCGCCATTAACAATAAAGAATTGGTTAAAAAGCAAGATAAGAAATCCACAAGAGGGAATAAAGAATTACTTTCTATCATTCTTTCCATTTCTAACTTGGATTTATCGGTACAATTTCACATGGTTCTGGGGTGATATTGTTGCGGGTCTAACAGTTGGTGCTATCGTTATTCCACAGAGTATGGCTTATGCTGGTCTGGCAAAACTAGCACCACAATTTGGACTATATAGTAGTTTTGTAGGTGTGATGATCTATTGGTTCTTTGCAACAAGTAAGGTAGGTGCTCGTAGATGATATAAAAATACGCTTCAAACATTGGTCCTCTTTTAGGACATCAGTATTGGACCAGTAGCTGTCATGTCAGCCTTGACAGGAAGCATTCTAGATGATATTTATCGAGTCTACCCACAATATGAACTACATACGATCGCTTCTGCACTTGCCTTATTAATTGGATGCATTGTTTGCTTATTAGGAATTCTTCGTCTCGGTTTCATTGTGGATTTCATACCATTGCCAGCTTTAGCAGCCTTCATGACCGGATCAGCACTCAACATAGCTATGGGTCAAATCCCAACCATGTTTGGAAATAATCGATCGTTTGATACACGTCAAGCAACATATCTTGTTTTTATAAATTTCTGGAAGAATATAAAATACTGTAATTTGAATGCAGCGCTTGGTTTAACAGCATTGTTTCTATTGTATGCCATTCGATTCATTTGTACACAAGCAGCTAAACGTCATCCAACTCGAGAAAAACTATTCTTCTTTATCAATACACTTCGCACAGCATTCGTAATTTTACTTTATCTATTGATTTCCTGGTTAATAAATCGTGAGCATGTAGATAAACCACGTACAGCTCTTCTCGGTGCCATTCCACGAGGTTTTCAAAATATGGCTGTACCGTACCTTGATAGCAAGCTGTTCTTAAAACTTCTGCCCTATTTACCGTCAACTGTCATTGTTCTACTTATCGAACATATAGCTATTGCCAAATCATTCGGTCGAATTAATAATTATGTTATCGATCCAAATCAGGAATTAGTTGCTATTGGCGTAACTAATGTATTTGGTCCATTTTTTGGTGCTTATCCAGCAACTGGCTCATTTTCTCGAACAGCAATTAAATCGAAAGCTGGCGTTCGAACGCCTTTCGCTGGTGTATTCAGTGGTATGATTATCATTCTTGCAATCTATGTCCTGACACCAGTGTTCTACTGGATATCACAAGCTAGTTTAGCAGCTGTAATTGTACACGCTGTTGGCGATTTAATCATTGAGCCACATACATTGAAACAGTTTTGGAAAGTTAGTCCAATTGAATTCTTTATCTTCTGGGCTGGTGTCATTGTAACAATATTTTCCAGTATTGAAGATGGCATTTACGTTAGTATTGCTACGTCTGGTGCTCTTCTACTTTATCGTATTGCTAAAGCACGTGGACAGTTTGTTGGTCGAGTTCAAATTCATCAGATTGTATTGACAAGTGACAATGATACGCGCTCAGCGACAAGAAATATCTATGTACCACTCGATCGTTCCAATGGAATCAATCCAATGGTTATACCCATTTCACCTGGCAATGGAATCTTTATTTACCGAATTCATGAAAGTTTTCTCTACCCAAACGCTGCCCATTATACCGAAAAGATGGTTAATCAAATATTTATCGAGACACGACGAGGAAAATCGGATTGCTACAGAAATCTCGGACAACAACCATGGAATCTACAAACAAGTCGACATCCCGAAAAAGATATTATACCAAACGATAGTCGTCCTCGATTACATGCACTTATTCTCGATTTTACTGGTGTTCCACATGTAGATATAACAGGCCTCCAGAACTTAGTCGATGTTCGTCGACAACTGGATGTTTACGCTGATTGGCACGTGAATTGGCATTTTGTTGGCTTATCAAATCCATGGATAAAACGTGCACTTATCTCCGCTGGCTTTGGTTCATCAAATAATGGACGTAATGTTTTCTCCGTTGCACATGCACCTACTGATGTCAACCACGAAGAGATTCATCTTCATGAAGATCATTCTTCAAGCACAAACACAATCTTTGTACCTATTCTCGATATCGATCGGCCATTGTTTCATGCGGATCTGGACGAAGCTTATGAAGCTGCAGTAAACAGTCTATCATCTCGATAAAAAGAGACTACTTCGATGGCAGACAGATAAAGATCTTTTTCGAGATTAGAATGTCTTTTTGACTTTTCTAATGACATGAACTTCAATCATCACTAGATTTTTATTTTGCTATCTGAAAAAAAAATGAACAACGAAGTCTTTTTGCTCTCATCGGGCTTTGTATACAAAGAACAACAACAAAAGAAAAACGAACAAAACAATAACGATATTTTTAAAAAAGCGTTCGTCGATGACTCTATTTCAATCACATTTCCATTGTGTTATTTCCTAGACAAAGCAAACTAATACATTTAATCGTAATTCATCAGTAAGATTTCTTACCAGAATGTTGTTCTTGTTCCATAGATTCTGTATTTACTTTATGACCATTCTGATGTTGCTTTTGTTCGTTGGAATTCGGCATTTGACCAGCTTGCAACATGGCTTTTAATCTTTCAACTTCTTCGATTGATTTTGCCTCCATAATCGCTTTTTTAATAGCATCAGCATCTTTCTTCGTCATTCGTGGAGCTTGCTGTTGTTGTTGTTTAGCTAATTCTCCGCCAGGTACAAATGTATTAGCTCCTTTTTCTTTCTTTTTCGCTTTTTCAGCCGATTTCGATTTATAGAGTTTACGAGCAGCTTCACGCTCCTAAACGGAGAGAGAAAAGGAATGTTAGTTTCATAGAACTGAACACGAAAGAAAATACTTTTTGTGTTATTCGATTAAAATCAAGTGTTCGTAAATTGGGTAATTTGTGAATCACGTAGAGACGGTAATCTTTCAACATGGCGATTGGATTTCGAGCAAAGCTGGAAAAAAAATTAGCTTACAGATGTTTCTTCTTCATTTTCATTCAAAAGTAAGTTTACCTAACATGAGTCAATTTTGGAATTGTTGCCAAAGGATCAATATCGGTTAATTCTTGCAATGTGTTATTAAGAAGCATCAATGTATCCAAATTCGGTATGTACTCTTGAAGATTTTCAGCAATACGTCTAAAAGAACGGATATGTTAAGAAAATTCCTGTGTTACACATATGCGAATGCGTCAAAACGTCTTACGCTATGCGATTGTTGGCAAAATAGAGTGTTTTGATTTTCGGTAGAAATGGAAATCCGTCCAGTTTACGTATATCATTATTAGTAAAATCAATTGTATCGAATTGATTCAAAGTTGCACCCAAATTCTCCACAACTGGAATCTTCAAATCTAAATCAATATATTAGATACTCTATCGAGCGTTTAAGCCTTTGGTGTTTACCTCGTAAACATAATTCATATTGACCGACAGGATTAAGATATTGCGAAGCGGCTTCAATAACTTCCGGCGTAAGTCGAACCATGATCTATTCTAAATTCTCTTCTGTTTTTCTATAAAAACAAATCTGAAAAACTAAGATATACTAAAAAAAAGAAACAAAATACGGTTCTTTTCATTTCCTAGTCATAACATGAAAACAATATATATAGAAAAGCATTGTTTAATATGTTCGTTCGAGTGGTGTACTGATTGGATAACCTTTCGCAATAAGCATCTAAAACAATCATTCATTCGGTCATTCATTGATCGTGGAACAAATATTGTTACGTACTCGTTTAGCTAAATGCTGTAAATGTTCATCTCCAGTTTGGTATCCATGTTCATTTATTTCTTTGGCGAGTTTATCGATTCTCATGCGTGCATGTTTACAATAGAGAAAAGTCATTTCAGTCTCGTGTTCACAGTTTTTCAAACCGATGGAATAAGCTCGTGAGGAGCGACCGAGCATGGCGGTCATTGCATAGATTTCGATTACTATTTCTGATAAACGTCGTAAATATAGTTGATTATCGATGATATCCCGTCCGGATTTGGTTAATGTTTCTTTTGTTACATTTCGTAAGACAAATATGGCATACTCGAGATCTTTTGCTGGTATACCTAATGATGGATGAACCTAGATGGAGAAAGCAATGACATAAGTTTTGAATTCAGTTCAATCTCTACCTTTTCCCAAAGATCATGTTTGAATGTAAATGGTGCACGGTATGCTTGTGCTTTAGATGTCCAGTTAGTTAGTAAATGTCGTAGTTTAGTTCCAGGAAAATGTATTGGATTACGAATTTTTCGTACAAAATCATGAACAACTGAACTAACACTCATCACACCTTCCCATGCCGTTAACAATCGTAAAACGTCATTGGGCGCATCAAACATTGACCATGGACGAATATCACGAAGATATTGTTCGACTGGATGACCTATTTCAATGCCTTCGACGCCGAAGATTTCCAAGCAATCATTTGCAATACGATATAAACGATCAGTTGCAAAGATTTTTGTTAATGCTGACTCAATTGATATGACAGGCATGGAAAATGAGTCGAGTATACCACTTGTCAGATAAGTCATTGATTCCATTGTATACGTGTCTATTTCCATGTGAAAGAGACGTTTTTGTATTAAACCTTGATCCATTAATTTACGATTGAAAGATTCACGTTGAATAGCACGTTCAGATGCTAATCGTATCAAACGTTTACCAACTCCTGTGCACATTCCTAAGAAATATACGAATAGAGTAGAAAAATCGATGTGAATCTCAATGTTCGAAACGGACATACCTGAAAGTGTAGTTCGCACATAACCATGAAGATTTCGTAGTACATTCAAGCCTTCACCCAGTTGTCCTATTGTGTGTTGTATAGCATTAACTTTGACATCTTTGAATTCGACGTGTGTTAATCCGAGACCACGTAAGCCAAGTGTTGAAATAGTCGGAGATACTGTCACACCAGGCATATCACGATGAACGAGAAAGAACGAAAAGCGATCATCATAATCATCGGATGTATAACGTTCTTTTGTTTTACAATAGACAAGAAATACATCAGCATTCAATCCATTTGTCACCCACATCTTTTTGCCATTGATTGTGTACGTATTTGGATCAGTTTCACTAACAGTTGCGGTCGTTTGAATATTTCGTATGTCACTACCACAATTGGCTTCGGTAATGCAAGCTGCAGCGATCATTTTACCTTTCGCCATATCCGGTAAATAATACCGTTGTTGTTCATCCGTTCCATATACAAGTAAACCTGGAATAGCAAACATGTGAGTACTAAAGTAGGATGAATAGAAAGAAAACGTACTCCTAACACCATATTCCGTATGTGTTAGTAGTTGAGTCGTAATTGTTGGACTGACAGCTAGTTCTTCGAACATTCGTACTGATGATTGACTGTTTAGACTAAGGCCACCTAAACAATCGAAATGAAAACAACTCGATGACAATTGACAATTCTTCTTTTTGCTCTTACCGAACTCTTCCGGTATTATCAATCCGTGTAATTTTAGTTTTGACATTTCTTGATAGACATCTTTATCCACATGATTTTCTCTTTCAATCTTTTTCCGATCAATCTTATCTGTAAAATTTCTCAACTGTTCACATAATGTATTCATCTGTACGGATTCCGCTTTTGTTAATAGTTCAGGGTATGTCAATATATCACGATCGAATTCTCCATTAAAGACAACCGTCATATATTGAGTATTAGTCGAGTCGACTGTTAAACGCTCCTTTCGACGTAAGACATCTAGTTCGTTCGTGTATTCATATTCCAAGCCTTCTTCTTCAGGACGTGGACGATCTTTGCGTTCTGCTATTGATTGTTGAGGCGCAGGTGGAACTCGTTCAGCTACTTGTTTATTGGACGCAGCTTTGTTTGATCTTACGAAATAAATCAATAGATATAGATGTTAAATAAAGTTTCAGACTTACAGGAGTCGATTTATGTACAGATGAGTATATGATCGTCGAATCCAATGTGAAACTCTCAATGTTTGCATCTTGAATTTGATGTTAAATCACTATTTCATCTGCAAAACACGTAGAAAACAAATTTTATTGGCATTTATTCAATCATTTCGGGTGTAACTAAAATATTAAATACGAGTCCATTACTACGGATGACTTTTAAATTTAATGTGCTATCTTCTTGAACACGCTTAACGAGATCGGCGCTGGTTTCGATACCTTGTCCATTGACCTCAATGATAATGTCACCGGCGTGTAAGCCAGCACGTTGTGCAGTCGAATTTGGTAATACACTTGCAATATAAACACCTCGAGTGACAGAAAACATCATTGGCATGCGGTATCGCATTTCTTCGACAATTTCTGGTGTTAATGAAAACATTTTGATTCCTAAATATCGTGTTTGTCGACGATTCGTTGCTGGTACCGCTTGTTTTTGTTTGCGCTTATCAACATCCACTAGAAACGATTTAGCATAATTTATTGGCAAAGAAAACGATATTCCAGTCATCGCTTTCATCGAATTAATACCAATAACTTGTCCATCAAGATTTACCAACGGCCCACCACTATTTCCACTTGTAATCATACAATCTGTTTGTATATAGTTTATGTCACGACCAAATAAACCTAATTCGCTACTCGTACGACCGACATTGGAAACAATTCCAGCCGTGACTGTGTTCGATAATGCTAATGGACTACCAACAGCAATACAATGTTCACCGGCACGAATGGTATCCGAATTACCTAATTCTAAATACGGTAATTTTTGATCGGGAGAATCAATTTGAACAACAGCCAAGTCAGCAACCATATCCACTGAAGAACAACTTATTCGATATATTCGTTTCAAATAACTTCGATTTCCTTACCATACTGTACGGTGCCAGTAAAACGTTGTCCGTTATTGAGTTTGATTTTAACATTTTTCTTGTTACGGACGACGTGTGCATTGGTCAGTAGTAATCCTGATTCATTTATAATAAAACCTGAACCGTTCGTTGTACCATACGATGAACTAAAATGTCCATAATAGGATACGGGATCGAGATCAACTTCAATATGAACAACGGCTGGAGCGACATGTTCCACCACATCCGCGATAAAATTGTATTGTTTGGAATATGGAACTTTTTCGATTAGCGGCTTTTGATTATCAACTATGAGTGGACCTTTTGGTGTCGTAGGGATCGAATCGTCAGTTGACAAAGCATGCAAACGATAGTGTTTTCGAATTTCATAGAAACTTACAGAACCCGCAGCGAGAAGAAAAGCGAATGGTAAAGATGAATGGATTTTTCCTGAGTGTTGCTCATTCTTATTCGATACAAGAGATAGGTATACTGATGAATATCTTTGATGGCTTGAAAGAATTCGGACACAACGAGATAGAACTGTTTTCATGATTATTACCAGTTACCAGTGCAAGCAACGAGAAAAAAAGAATTGAATTGTATTGTTTGAGACATGTAACCAATCCAATCGCTTGATTGGCTGTCGATTTGATTGGTACAGGAAATAACGAATACGAAGGAGATGTGTTCTCTTTCTTGCTTGCAAGTTTTGTAATGAAAAAGTTATTTTAATTTGTCAAATTAAGATAAATATGAATCGAGAAGAATTACTTGCCTTGATGAAACAAAAGGATGATATTGAAAGCGAGTTACGTGAATTGAGCGATGAATTAAAATCACAGGACAATATTGGAATGACAGGAGAATTGGTTGATAAAGAGGGTTATCCCAGGTACGTAAAATTTTCTCTTCGATTCTACCAATTCTTCTTTTTTTTTATTGCGAAAAGAAACGATATCGATCTGGTTCGAGTACGTCAAACACGACAACGCGTCATTTGCTTACAAAATGATCACAAAGCATTGATGAAACAGATCGAAGCTGGTCTCATACAAGTTCATGAAAATAGTGCTAACAGCTCTTCCAATACTACTGATGTAACAGTCACAACTTCTAGTCAAACAGCTCGCTCTAATAAGGAACCATTCCTTCGTGTTGATATTGTTAGCAATGAATCACCAGCTCAAGCAGCTGGTCTTCATGTCGGTGATTACGTTTGTCGCATTGGTACAATTCGAAAAGATAATTTTCGTACAATGCAAGACGTTGCATCGTTGGTAAGCAACAGTGAAAATAGGTCGATTACACTGCTCATTGAACGTGGTAGTGCAAAGGAGCAACAGACTGTTACCTTAATACCGAAGAAATGGTCAGGCAATGGTTTATTAGGTTGTAAACTAACACCGCTAAGTTGATTGTTTTGGTTCTCAAATAAATATATCCTGTTTTATTTTTTATCGATTATAAACAAGAAAAATTACGTCTAACAATTTCTCACTGAATCACACGCAAGTTTAAATCATAGGATGAAATCATCGTGTTGAGCTCACTTGACTTTGTCAAAGTCGTAATTGAATTGTATTCTCCAATAACACTATTTGCTAACGATGCCGGAAACATGAAGATACCTTTTGCACTTCTCAGTCGACCTAAAAGCAAGCACTCTCAACAAACAGGATCATAAGTCACGTATGTCCTTTAGCCGCGTCTTTTCTTTTCACTTGCAATGTTGCACGCATGCTATAACATGACATGGGCACCAGCATTTCGTCCTATAGCACGAGGCTATCTAGCTTTAGCAATACCTGCGCTTATATTTCATGTCCTATTCTGGCTACAAGTAGCTACACATCGTTCACTACGACAATTATCTATGCTCTGGGTTTACAACTATCTTGTGGCTGACATGCTTCTACTTATTCAATTCCTTGTCGAATATTTTCTTCGTACATCGTTACCATTTTGTATTTCATCGAAATTGTATTGGACATTCTGTAGTTTGGAAGCTTATGCACCTATTTTTTTTACCATTCTTGAAGCATATATGCTAGTTGGTTTGAATATCACGCGGTATTATTTAATTGTGAAAAATTTGGATATAGCTACTCGATTTCCTTATATTTTCGTTCTAATCAGTGTATTTCTGTATTTTGCTGGCGCGGGCCTATTAATATTTCAAGTAGAACTATTTGGAATTGTGACGCTACATAAACATCAACATACATCGAGTTGTCATTTACAATATCGTAATATTATAACTCAATTAGTAAACTTAATCATTGTTTTGTTGATACCAATCCTGCTTAATTGTTATTTCGTTACATTAACAACAGTACATGTTCGTCGGTCGCAGCGAGCTGTCAGAGCACGAGTAAACGAATCAATCTAGTTCTCATTTCGCTGTTTATCTCTCTGTTTTTCTTTTCAGCATAGTAAACATTTACAATTACTAGTTCAATTCTTTGTTCTATATATCTTGTGGTTAGCCTTGTGGGCGCCGAATGCGTTCGTCTCACATATAGTGGCAGATAATTATCCAAGCATCTATACCCGTTTCGGAAGTATCACGTGTACTTTAATTGGTCCGCTGATTTTTATGTTCATTGACCGACGGTTCTTAAAAGTTTGGAAGCACACCTTGTATCGTGTGATTCGATGTGATCGACCTGTGAGCCAGATTCGTCCATCAACAGTTAGCTATGATATACATTTACCAACGATGATCAGGTGAATTAGCAATGGTTTTTTTTGACTTGTCAATTTTAAATTATTGTAAAACGAAGTGTGTATCGTCTGAAGTTAACGAATAGTTTCTGGTGCATTTTATTTGATTAACATCCAGCAGAGAAATATACAAAAATATTCACATATCTCTGTTGATGAAGCAGACGAAGATGGAAAAGTTTTCTCACTCAGTGTAGATGTTGGCTGGCATGATACAGTGTTTTTGCTCTCCGTATTACAGAGGCTTCCTTCGGGACATGAAATTACCATCCAAGTTCCATTTTGACAAGTACAATAAGAACTTTGTTTCGAACAAATGATTTTACCACTTGCACACGGTTTAGAAGGAAAACATGTGTCAATTGACGAATCAGTTATGGATAAAGTTGAAGTCGACGGCGATGAATTTTTACTTTGTATGATTTGTTTGATTTTATTTGTTAGAATCTGTCCGCTACATTTGCAAGTTAATTGATCAGGATTTTGACTATAGCATTGATTAAGTTGTATCTCATATAATTGATTCTCCATACAATATTTTTGACAAGTTGTTTTCCATTCAGGATACAGACAATCACCTTCTACATGGTTAATCAGAAATGTTAGAAGAACTACTAAACGATACATTTCACTCCACGATTGAATAACGAATGTTTTCGTTTATTGATCTCCTCGCTCGAAATCAACACACTCTTCCTCGTAAACTTCGTTTACATATGCACGTCTAATCATGTTTAATCTCCTAAACTAACACTAACGAAACGATTGAAGAATGAATCAAATACTTCATACGATTCGTCTATTTATCGGTGTGCAATGTCTGCCTTTTCTTTGCTATCATACAAATAAAGTATTCTGCGCTAAGGAGTTATATGATTTCTCAAACGATTGCGATGTTTGTCTGTGTATGCCCCCTATCAAGACGGATATGTCTGATTGGTTGGATATTAAGTACGCTTACGCAGTTTGTTTCTGTTTCCCTTTCTATTATGTTTTTTTGTTGTTTTTTATTTTAACTCATTGATGCTTTCAGTGCAATATAAGTCATACCTTTTTGCAACGCGTGGGTGTTCATTTCAGATATTTACTTTCTAACATTTACTCGAATATTTTGAACCAAAATAATGGGTAAACCAGCTGTTGTTAACATTGAATACTGTGGAGCATGAGGATACGATTCACGGTACGAGGCATTGCGTAAGCAAATTTTGCAACGCGTGCCTGATGCTACCGTGAGTGGTAAAGTTGGACGACGAAGTAAGTCGATTTGTTCGTTTGTTCTATGCATATATCCATATCTGCGGATGTTCTAGGTTCGTTTGAGGTGACTTTGAATAACAAACTCATCTACTCGAAACTTGACAACGGTCACTTTCCTGCTTTTGACAAGGTTTCCTTCTTGGATGAATCAATTGACATTTTTCACATATGATTTCATTCTAGATCGCAGAGGAAGTTGACAATGCTGCTCAAGGTCGTGATGTCCAAACTGTGACCGAAGTTGACAAGAGTTCATCTTGCACCATTCTTTAAAGCAGCCAGCCGTTCGTTCAAATTAACACTATGCCTTCATCGCGTCATACTCATACTTGAATATGTTTTCGCTAGCTTTGTCTAATCTCAAGTCTGTGTATTTCAATAGCGAGCAATTCTTTTTATGATAGCTAAAATTTTAAATGAAACGGATTTTAGCTTGATCGCTCTTAAATTGCTTCTATTGTCTTACGCAACTTGGCCTAAGCATACTCTCGTTTGTATAACGGATGCAAGAACAAAATCTTTTTGTAATGCTTTTTCTTCTTTTGCAAAATATACATTTCTAAGACCTTCATTCTGACTGATCAACTCAATTTCAGATATATTTCGAAGAGAATCATACTGACTCATGTATCGTGAAACATTAGGTATTACAGAAAAGTTTCTCAGAGACAAATATAACGCTACAGACGATGAAATCGCCCAATTAAACGATCTGTATGCCTTTCAATTTGAAAAGCGTTCGTCAATGCCATATCCTACTGCGGCAACCAATCATCCATCATTAGTATTGGATGGATTTCTCTACCACGGTGACATATACCACGCATCGAATGGAAAATTATTGAAAGAATTGGATATCAAGCATATTATTGATGTATGTGACTGTGAGCTGGAAAAAGAGATCGTTAATAATTTCAATGTTTTATGGATCAATCTCAATGATGATTTTATTGCAGATATAAAGAAATATTTTGAGACAACAAATCAATTTCTATATGAGTGTAAACAGAAGAAGGAGAAAGTGTTAGTACATTGTCAAATGGGAATATCACGTTCATCATCGGTTGTTTTAGCTTATTTGATGAAGTAAGTTGCTCGATTTGCCGTTTTTTTTTCGAGGAAAAGTCAATGAATCTCTTTTGATTTAGATATCACCATGATACTCTAAAGAAAGCGTACGATTATCTACTTGAACGACGTCGCGTTGCTGGCCCGAATGCTTCATTTCTTTTACAATTACTCCGTTATGAGAAAGAATTGCGCGCTACTAAAGAAATCGATGAGAGTAAAAACAACGATGATAAACAAAATCCATTCGAAACAGTTGATATCAATGAAACAGCCACTGTCTCGAACACACAAACAAACAATAATCAAATGACATAATCGGATCTATTTTCTTTGCTATTTGTTACAGTATTAAGAATAATGTTAATGCCTTCCTTTCGATATATAATCGTTTGAGTTTTGTGAACCCGATATATTTTTGCATCTATCGATTTTATCTTCCGTCGTCTTCAAGTATAATAAATCAGATATCAAACAAAGCGCACAATAATCATGCTTGTCGATCTCGAGATAATTCTATAGACGTCGATTAAATCAAACACTGATTCGGATGGAGAATCTCTTGAGGATAGGCAGAACAAACATTGGTATTTCTGCTTCTTGTTAGTAATGATATAAATAAATAGAATGATAGAGGAAGACACGATACAATAAAAAGAACTCAGAAAACAACTAATGAAATATTAGGAATAGATCCAAAGCAAAAGACGTCAGATTGAAGCGATTATGATATGTATGAGAATGATCATGAGATAGTACTGTTAAAATCGAAAGACGAGAAAGATTATGGATATGCTAAAGACGGAAAATGAAAATTGAAAATCATAAGAATCACTAGAAAAAAAAAATACCGAGTCATCTACTTAGTCATTTTGTGCTTGAAATTATAAGGTAAGACACGAGATGAAGAAAGAGAAAATATAGAAATTGCGGAAAAGGAATACTACAAAGTCACAAGAGACAATATTGATTCGCTACTGATTTAAGAAATGTAATTATTCAAGGTTTACATTGACTCCGGTAAAATATAGGAGATATCATCCCACGGATGACGATAGAGACCTTGTCGAAGTCGTTTTTGATCCAGAAAATGACCTTCAAAGAAAATAACAGTTTGGGTTTTACTTGTAGAAACATTTTAAACTGAAGATCCCTTACCAATAAATCCCATACTTCGACCGAGGACAAAGAGCCCATTCAATGCTCCATTTTCAATGAATTCGGTTGCTTCTTCATGTGTGAAGCAACCACAATTGCGGAAGAGATCAACCATAGCTACACCGATGCAACCGTCAACGTTTAAAATCAGATTAGGTTTCTAGAAAAGCCAAGTTCATTGGCATATTACACGATTCAATAAAATACTACCTTGCTAACAGTAATTTTTTCAACTTCGAGTGCATAATCGAGTAACGGAGTTGCTGGAAAATGTTCCTTGGCGAATTTCTTGAGAAGAACAACACGCATATCAGGATTATTCAACTAAATACAATCGGATTTCAATCAAAACCTAGTTATTTAAATATATTTACCGATTTAACTCGATGACCAATGCCCATAATCAATTCTCCATCCTTTCGCATTTTATTGACAAAATCTGCCGGATGTAAGCCTGTATCAAATGCATGGCTAAATTGTTTTGCAGCATTGTCAAGTGCTCCACCAAATCGATCACCCTAAAGAGTTCACATTATGGAATATATAGGTTCTCTCCTGATATTCATGCTTACAATTGTTAATAAGCCGGAAGCTAAACATGAAACCAGATCTTTACCAGCACGTGCGCATACGATTGTATTGTGTGCACCGCTAACAGCAGGCCCATGGTCAGCAGTAACCATCAATGTCATTTCAAGAAATTCAGTTGCATATTTTGGTAAACTACAATTGAGAAATCTTCATCAAGAACGAAAGACTTTCACATTCAACAAACCGTTTGCGAAACCAAAGTAAACTAAGTACACCGCCAATACCCATATTTTCTTTGATGACGTCGGTGATGGGCATGCCAGCATATAATAATTCTTGACCACGATCGTCAACAATACTTGTCATGAAACTAGCCGGCTTACGAATTAAACCTAATTCCTAAGAGAGAAAAATGAAGAAGAATACAGTTTGAACGAGAAATAAACATGCATTTGAACATACTCGAGCCCAGTCATAATCCATGGGTACAGAAGGTGGTAATACATCTGGTTTCGGTATCAATTGACCACATCTCTTAAGTTCTTCGAACACCACACTAGACAAATATCACGTAACATTCCCACTCAATACCAATAAATCTGTCTCTTACTGAATTAGATCGCCAAGTTCATCAAAACTGTTCGGTACGTACGCACCGGCATCTTGTAAAGCTTTGTTTTTGGCAATAGCTGTTTCACGATCATTGTCAGCATGTGAACCAGCATGACCAAATTGCACTTCAGATGTAAACATTGACGCACATGTACCAATGCACCAAGCAACCAGTGGCTTCTTAATACGTTTTGATTTGATTGCTTCACAGATGTGATACTCTTCGATACCGCCAACCTATTCGTTATAAACATTCATCTCGATGGACAAAAAAGTCTACCGAAAACAACATACTTCACCGAGGAGAACAATGATTTTTGCTTCAGGATCATCTTCATAGCGATAGATATGATCAGTAAATGTCGTACCCGGATAACTACAATAGAATTTATGTTTGACATAGTGCAATCAGTTCAAATTACCGGTCGCCACCAATGGCAATGCCCTCGTAAACACCATCTGAGTTACGTGAAATGATATTGTTTAATTCATTGGACATGCCCCCTGATCGAGAGACGTATGCAACACTAAAATATACATAATCATTCTCTTTCTGCCTTTTGAAAACATCAAGTGCTATTCATTTCGTACCTTCCTGGTCGATAGAGTTTCGACATGAGGATATTGTCAAGCATACCACCGGTATGTCCAATTTTGAAACAACCCGCTTTTAAACCACCGACCTGCATTATAGAAAAGTTAAAGAGAGAAATTTTATCAGAAGGAAGCCTGCGTTCAGTTTCGTACAGTAGCCGGTCCGATGAGAAAAACGTTTTGCTTGTTTGCTAAACGCAACATACGTCTTGTTAACTGTTCTGGAATGCCTTCAGCAATAATTGCAATTGATCGAATCTAGAGATAGAAAGAAAAAGTCAATCAGTTTCGACTATGATCTAGTTCATCTAATTTTACTTGTGGGTATTTTAATGTTTCCATTGTACTGTCGTATGCCGAGCGTAATGAAGCAAAGTTAATAAGTACATCCGCATCGGGATGTCGTTTCATACAGTCAGCCATGTTTTTGTAACATGGTAGAAGAATTTCTTCATGGCCCCAATAAAATTTTTGTTTATGATCACCAGTAAATGGATAAATCATTGCCACAACTGACGGTTGTGATCGACGGCATACATGATCAAAATCTAGCATACCTTGAACTGCCTAAGCGAGGATGATTTTATTTAGAAGATCTGATAGTCAACTTTTCAATAAATTACTTTTGTTTGCATGCCCCAGACAATAGCCTTTGTTGTATTCGAAAATAATGGTCGAGTCAAATTGAGTCGTCTTATATCATCGTTAACTTTCGATGTTGTAGATGGTGCATTCGTAGCTGTATTGGAATCATCACTTTTCTGTAACAGAGGAAATTATCAGAGAAATATATAAAGTGACTAACGTATAAATAAAACATAAACACATAAAATCAAATCATCGTACGTACCACGGCTAATTCCTGATCGAGACTTGTGGATTTATTAAGTCGTTTACGTTCTTCGTCAAATTTTGTCGTATGCTGCTAGACAAAATACACAAACTTGCAATACTGGCAAACACAAAAGCAGGTATATGCAGTTATAGTCTTTTTTTCTCTCCAAGCACCCGGATTATTATTAGATGTGTTATTTTCTCAAACTCTTACATTACTCATATCGCGTATAGGAATCTAAGAACATACACGATTGAACATCACCGTATGAAACAATAACGACTAACAACAAATATTATACTACAATACTCACATTGACACTAGTTGGAAGTAAGAAATTTGCCGTAGTTAATTCTGCATGTTCAGGAGGGGCAATAGGACGTTTTCCTGATTGGAGTGAAAGAGAATAAACATGATAAATGGTGCTGAACGTGAAAAAAAAAGGTAAATCATACCTAATGCCATGCCAACAATAGCTGTCATATGTGTTTCCGGTCCGAAGACATGAATAGGAACACCAAGTGATGCTCCGACTTCACGCATAACACGTAAGCCTTCCTGATAGTTTGGACCAGCACGGCGAACAAAAATTGATACTTTGTATTCGATCAAATGATCGCGAAATTCTCTTAATGCTTTGACAATGCCCTACAATGAACTTGCATTTTGATATTGACTTCTCTTCGAAATAGACAATGGTGATCACCTTGAACGTCGCAGCCACATTGGTAAAGTTGGCAATACCACCGCCAATAATCAAGATTTTTCCTTCAGGATTCTTCTCTTTGATCATTAATGATAAAATCGTTTTCGCATACTCATACGTTTGTTGCTCGCTTGGTGCACCTGAATATTCGCCGTAATCAGCCAACTCAGCAGCAAAGCCCATATCACAAATAGTATCGCTATGAATTTCAAGTATTCTTCTATAAAAGTATTCATTTCAGATGGCATACCTGTAGATAACTGATGCTCCGCCACCAGCGACCATTGTCCAGACCCGACCTTTAGGATTAAGAACAGTTAATTTTAATGATGCGCCCGATTTGGCATCGAGTTCAGCAATATAGGCTTCCTAAATAGACAACAAATCATCAACTTAGATTTCCGTCATGGATGATGAAAATTATACTTCAGCATAAGCGTCTCGACCAAAGGGCGGTGGAAATTCAATATTGCCCCATTTTGACGCACACAAATATTCAGCAGTTTGATCAAGACGACTGGCGAGATCAAGTACATAAACTGTATTGGATGTAACAACTAACGGATTGATTTCTAAATATGTAAATTGTAATTCCATATAAACTTGAAACAATTTGCTAATGAATGCTGATAAATGTCTGCAATATTCGAAGATTGAGTATGACATATGAATCATTATTTCTCCTTACGCTTGTCGATCAGCAGGAACATGTTTTAATAAAGCTGTTTCCATTTTCTTATCATCGAATGATTCATCAATTAGAATTGAGTATTGTAATCCTTTCGAATCAACATCACCGACATCAATACCACCTTCGTGATGGAAAAGGATAACCTCTCCTTCACGATTCGAGTAAATACAGATATACATTTCATCGGTTTT